GGCAATAAGCTCGTCTTTGAGTGCCAGCTGCTCGCCTCCCCGAAGCCAGAGATCAGCTGGTACAGGAGCGATGAACTCCTTAAAGAAGATGGCAGGACGAAATTTAAGTGAGTATTTGAAGAAGTATTTTACTGACTATCGGCTGGTTTTTGAATTGAGATAAGTACGAAATCTCAACTGATGATTCTCAATAACTTATGTTTTTTTACGTTTCACAAGGCAAAATGTCTTAGTTTTATCAAACTACTATTAACTGATCATTAATAATTTTATGCCTTAAACTGCAAAAAAGGATAATGAATAAAATCTTTAAAACCTTTATTTAAAGTTACGAATAAATATCGATTTTAATTGGTAAATATATAATGTTAAATATTTATTTAAATTGAAAACTTTTATTTTGGTACCTTTGCACAGAACACGGAGTGTTCCGTGTACCTTGGAATGTATCCCTATAAATTATACTAAATGTCATCCCGTATACGCAGCATATTTAAGGAACGTATCCTCTGTGAATAAGGAGCTTCTACTGTATACTATTATTTTTTTATATTAGTCAATATAACATTGATTGTTCAGGTCCCTAAAGAAATAGCTAAAGCGATTTTTAATATATGGTAGGATATTGCTATATTAGGTAAACATTTATTTGAGTATCCAAAAGACTTTTGTGTGGGTACCATTCGCTGTTCAAAATATTATCATTATGACAAAAAAAAAACGCGAAAAAGTGTTTTTTATAATTCTCGTTTACTTTTACCATTTATACATGTTTAGTAATAGCTGTAAAGCTTCATGGTGCTATGCAATTGAGACGATTAAGTCTAACAGCTAGTTGCACAAACGTCCATTACAATTGACATTAGTTTAAAGTGACATTACCGATACAAATTTGACATTCATTAGAGCTTTAAGGCGTCATTAAGCACTAATGAACGTTTGTGCAACTCACCGTAAAGGCTATCAGATTAGCGTCTAAAAATTGTCTTCCACACTTGGAATAACACGTTTGAGACTTGAGTCTCTTGTTGCATCTACAATCGTTTATTTTACGTTATCCTTGTGAATCTACCCACGAGGATCCAGCAATATGAATTTTAAAGTCTAATAATTATGTGATGATTAATTAAAATGAAATACGATAACTGACCAAGTAGTGAGATTTACACAAATTTCAGTGTTAGTCATAGTATGAATAACATATGAATTTAGATCGTGAAACAGACGTCCAAATATTTATGAGAAGTAAGTCTGATTTTAGGTCAACGATCGGCGTCACCTTGGTTCTGTTATGTTTGTTCTTTTACTTCCTTTGATGTGCCACTAGCGACGCCAAGCGGGGTTTGTCGACACACTTGGCACTGACCATTGGTCGATGATAGTCAGTAGAGATGTGCGGGACATAATTAAACTATGATCTGTTCGACGGCGCAGTCAACGTATGTGACTTGCGAATACGGATGTCAAGCAGTTTCGTAAGAGCCAGCCATCGGATGGGTGACCAAAAATTTATTATCGCGAGTTCCTTCGCGCTTTATCTCGCTGCATATGTAGTCGTTAATACCCACTGATCCGCACAAGGCCTGCATGGTGGGTCATGGTCCATTCTCCCCATCCGATTTGATTCGATTTCATCCTCAGGGAAGGTCTGAGCCCCAGCAGGTGTACAGTATAAGACTGATGATGAAGTCTTTATAACTCCAATATAAAACAACTTATTAATCAAATCATCATCCCCAGCCCCAATTGCTGACACAAAAGCCTATTTTACGCGTGGAATCAATTATGGAGAACTTTAATGACAACAGATGTAGCCGAGACAAATGGCTTAACGTACCTTCCGAAACACGAAGGAGCTTGAGACAATTTAAATTCAATATCATTTATTAACACTGGGCTGTTACAAGCACTTTGGAATGTCAAAAGCTGTGTTTTTTTCTACTTCACCAGTGTATACTATATACAAATTAGTAAATAAATATAGTAACACTATAAATATTTACAATGACTCCCCTTCAAATATCCGTAGGACTATTTTGGAACTATTAAATAGACTATGAACATCAGTGTAATTCTTTAATGATATTTATTTATAAAGCCAAATGCCAAAACTCTTTTTATCACATTTTAGTGCATGTTGTGTTTTCCTGTTCACTTAACATAAATTATTGTATATATGTAACCCTAGAAGTTTTTCTATCTGAGAGTCACACAATCCTAATCATACGTTTCAGAGGCGTACATAGGAAATTAAAACCATTAGGCAAAAATCAAAACAAAACACTATTTATGGCTGAATTTTTAAAGTATAAGTAAGGTAGGGCTAATAATTTATAATACAAAACAGTTTTATCAGTTGATACAGCAGATGAATATTACAACAAAAAACAAGTACAAATAATTATATATATTTTTTTTATTTGGGATTTTAATGACTAGGTATCATTTTTATATATCTCGCAAGCATACCTATTCTATTTCATGTACGCCTCGCAGACGTAGATTAAGCTTTTAGGGTTAACATACATAGGTTGTACACGAACGTTGATAATCATTAAATAATTAATAAAAATAAAGCTACACCACCGGTTTGAAAACCTACAGCAGGAAACTGTGCACTGAGTAGAACTGGAAAAAAATCAATAAGAGCTGCTTTTACTGTTCATCCAAAAATATGAACGGACACTGCGAAAGTTGTTTAACTTAAGCATTTTAGACGAAACGCCCGAAAATGTTTAATAAACATTATACGTTCTCCAGGATCCAGAGTATCGCCAACAACAAATTCCTGGTGGTACTCGAGCTGGACGACGTGATCGAGACCGATGCGGGGCTCTACAAAGTCAAGGCTAAGAACAAGATGGGCGAGGTGGCCGCTTCCATCAACCTTAACTTCAGCCGTGAGTATTTGTTTTTTGGAACTTTAATTTAATAAAGGAAATTTAATATCAGCTAACCTAGCTCGATTAAACTGAAGGTTAAGTGTACATTAGGATTTTTTACATATCATGACTAAATAAATTAAATTAAAATACAATAGGTATATACATTTGATTTTAAGAGATTTGACCTATATAATTACCGATATGCTTTTACTGTATTTCATATTATAATAAATAATCATTTTGTGATAAGTTACTTTTGGTAATTTTGATCGAATAACTTTGATTTTATTTAGTGCTTCTTTTTTCATTTACACATAATTGATAAATGTTTCATGTTAGCAACCGTGTTAATTCATTAATGTTGATGACAAATCTGATGTATGTAGCTTTTAATGTAATATCACGAGAACTTGATACTTTAAATACTGAAACAATTTCTACCCATGATACCGAACATTTGTCATAATATTCTCTCGTAATCTAACACTGTGCCAATAAAAATACCTTCAGAAATAACTCAGTATTAGTCATAGACAGAAATAAATGTCTGACAAAAATTGTGTTGAACAGTAACCCACGCCATTAGTGTTGAGCCAAAAGCTACGTACGACCACGTTGGCAGCTTGAATGTCACAAGCCGAACTAATGTCAGCTGACGACAGTAATTCAGACTTTGTAAACACCATGACCAAAGTACACAGTTAAAGATATATTAGTCATCACTGTGGCATGTATTTGTTAACTGCAGGTTACACATTAAAAAATCCCCAGTCACCCAAATATCATTTATTGTGCACAACTTTTAAACATGAATTGAGCGAAATGGAGTCAAGGATTGATTTTAACAAAAACAGTGCAAAGATACAAGTCAATCCAAGAATCCTCGTTCTATTCCTAGAATTATAACTAATCTAAAATTTCACTGCTTACGTCTGGCTGCAATTTAAATTTATAAACACACACGAAATCAAATGGATGGTTTCTGTTCTCGAGCTATCTGATAAATTTTAGAGTTATAAAATAGCTCGCTACAAACAAGAATGTTTAAATTAAACATGGCCCACATAATAATCGATAACTATCATATACTTATTTCATTACTTATCAACTTCAAGTGGTAAAAATTATTATATAACTTTAACGCCACTGAATATGAAAACCACAAGATTGGATCTTATGACCCTCCCAAAACGATTATTTATGCGACGGTTTTCAAGCATTTCATTGTACGGAGCCAACAAGGTCTTATGTATTAAATTCATTTCGTGTGGAAGAGAGGAAAATGCTTGAAAAAATGTTTTAAGTTCATCTTCAGATTACTCGATATGCGTAAATCCAATAGAACAAAGACTCATTTTGAAAAACGTTAAGAATTATTTCTGATATCATTGTGTATCTCTAAGGTATACTATTATCTTTTTTTCTAAAATCTGCTGTGTTCGTTTAGCGATAGATAATTAGAAATACAATTTTGTCATTTAGGCATTCTTTTGAACCTGCTGCTTTGTGACGCTTTTGCAAATGTCTGGATGCGTCTTTTACAGGATGAACGATATGCTTTTTATGATTGCAAATACTTGTCATTGATAGTAAGGGTAGTTATTAATCATATTTTTAAATTTTCAGCCGCCGACGAAGAGAAACAGAAGTAAGTACATTTTGATACATACATTTTTTTTAATACAATAAATATGAGAGTTATAAATAATATTTAAAGTTTCAAAGCATATTATATATGTTTAGGTTAGTAACAAAAGAAACAGAACGAAGTACTCGGAAAGTGTAAATATTTATTTAATTTAAGGTTTTTTAATTTTAAATACAATCTTTGAATTCTAACATAAATTGTTTTACAGCTGCTTTTTATATATCTTTATGAGACACACTTCAATTTTTAAACCAAATTTGTAACAAAAGGTCTTTTACCATGCAAGCTGATTGATAGCTATAATTTAAAATGTTGTATGAAATTTTGTTTTCAGACAAGTGGACGGTAAAGCACCTACGTTCGCGCGCAAGCCGGCCATCAGGCAAGAAGATGATGGCAAGCGGCTTATATTCGAGTGCCGCATCGAAGCCGAGCCTGTACCCACTGTCTCATGGTTCCACAATACAATGGAAGTCACACCTGGAGCAAGGCACAAGGTATCCATAACCAATCTCTTTCTACTACTTATCTATCAATTAAAAAAAAACGATAAAAGAGGTTAAATATATTAAATGTGAAATGGCGTCAATGTATAAGAGGATATACGATAGAAATGCAGTGAAAGAAAAACTTAGTATAATAACGGCCTACACTTGAGACTATCTTCTTTTTTTAGGAGAGTGGCAAAAAAAGAAGATAGCTTCAAAGAATGTGTCACTATTTACAACAACATAAATATAATTAATTATCATCACAAGCAAAAGAAACAGACGGGGAGAAGGGGCAAGCCCTAATAGACGGGCCCAAAGCATATTAGTGGGTTAATTTCATTGAGGATGTACTATTTTGTTATCTAAATAACATACATGACTAGATACATAACCTTGTGTTACATATAAAATGTTATTAGTTTGTGAGATGAGCGTTTCACAAAGCAAACAAATAAACACCAAGAAAAGCAAATTAAATGTAGAGTAAAGGAAATGAACAATTAAAACAAAACGAATGTATCACTAATGGTGTTGTTTTAAAAGTGCTCAGAAATGGCCTTGACCCCGATCTACTTGGCTAATAGCAACACCAGGTGCTTCGAACATAGCACAACGACCTTTTGTCCTAAATTTTATTTCAGATATTAATATTGTCTCCCATTCATCGTTTTGCTTTCGGTCTTCATGTTTAGTTCTATTATTAGAAAGTAAGCAATGGAAGTTGAATCAAAACTTATTTTTTAGCGAATGATGTTATTTGGGACCTTATTAATTACTTTTATTGCTGATTGTTTACTCTTTACAATGCTTCTTATATCTTCTGAACAGCAATAGAAAGATACTTTAAAAATTCATTTAAATTTGTCATATGTAAGTATTAGTAAGTTTGACATAATTATTAAATTAATTAGTCCAACGGGTTCTCCATAAAGGATTTTATATTTTTGCGGTAGAGCTGATACTTTTAATTATTTACTTTTCGAGCATTCTTACTGGCTTTTTTAAAGACTCAGGTTCTTCCAAATATTTGGTGACTTCATGATTCTAAAATTCAACAAAATTGAAACTTTTTTGTTTTTGATTGGGTTGTGATATTTATGAGACATGAAGTAACCTATCCTCCATATTCGAGAATAGCCCGATGATGATGTTGATTTTCTAACGGCAATTATTCTACATTTTTTTCTAAAACGAGATTTTTTTTTTGCATTTTTTAGCTAACTGTTAGCAAAGATGGCAAATCGTATTATGCCTCGCTCGAAATCAACAACGTTACCGTGGAAGACGCTGGCAAGTACAGAGTGACGGCCAAGAACGAACTCGGCGAAAGTAACGCCACAATCAGCTTAAACTTCGACAGTGAGTATAGACACATTTATCATTGTTTTATCAATTCAGTTGAAAATATCTATAGACATCTGTAATGACTAAGATCGTCAACGATACCAATAAAATATTTATGGAAATCTTCAAATTGATACCTTTTGAATCACCAGACGCTGTACTTTTAAAATTAAAATTCGAAAGTTATATCGTCGTCTGTCCTGCTCTGACTTATTTGTATTGTAAATGTCATAGAGTAGGATAGAGCACTATAAAGTTGACGATATATCTAAAATTGATTTTCAGACTACAACCGCTATCATGTTGTAATATTTAAAGTTGTGGACGTAATAAAATGTCACATCAAATATTTTATTTAAAATAAAATTAGATTTAACACCTGAATTAAATGAAGTAGTTAAGATTTGTAGAGTTTCTTAAAAATATTGCTTCAGTTATTTTTAACATTTGTGCAATTGTTTTGTGTGATTCTAATGCTTCATTATTTAAACTGCAATTTAATTTTCATTATATGAAAGTTAATTTTGCGGCAAGCTTTAGTAATTATCGACTAAAATCAGTTACTCTACATAATACACTAGAATAATTTGTAAGTTTCTTAAATTTTGTTTTTAAATATTACCTTTAATTTAAGATGTTTTCTTAATATCTCATAAACCTCAATATATTATGTAACAAAATACTTTAAGATTAAAATATTTGGCACGTTATTTGTAACAATACACACTTAATATTTTTAGTATGTTTATCAATAACTTTTTTATATTTATTACGTTACACACTTCTACGATCTATGTATGTTTCATAGTTTTATTGCTACTATGCTTCTATTAACATATAACTCCCCTCGCATATTAGTATTTATAACAGCTGTAGTTAGTTATATTTTGCAAAACGTGCTTTAGCAAATGCACCTAATGTAAATTAATACTAGAAGCAACTGTTATGCGTACTGTTTTCAAGATTGGAAATAGAAAAAATGATCACATATTTAATAAATAAAAATATATGTATTATGATTATTTATATATCGCAAATATCTATTATTCTAGTATTTCATAATATTCCTTTTAACTTTATTAAAATTAATATTGGACTTTGATTAATCCAACACAAACTCAAAAGAAAACATCTTAAATTTAACAGCGAAGAAACAGCATCTGTACTAAATATTCAATGTAACATGAATTAAAATATTTTCAAATGGATACTAATTAACGGATTCATAACATAGGCGACGAAGCGCCCGTACCTGAAGACTCAATCAAACCGACATTTACGGAGAGACCCGTCATCAGGCAATCGGAAGATGGTACCAAAATCACATTCGAATGTAGATGTGTTGGCAAACCGAAACCAACCGTCACATGGTAAGATTCCAATCACGAAAAAAATATTTCAAAAATTAAGTCACATCACTTATTTCGTCCCAATAATGCAGGTACCATGGAAAGAAATTAATAAAAGAAAGTAGTAGATATAAAATGACATTAGAAGAGGACCAAACATTATACCACATGGCGCGACTTGAAATTATAGGCGTAGATAATTCTGACAAAGGAGAATATAGGGCAGTAGCGAAAAACAAACAGGGTGAAGGCGTAGCAAAAATAAATCTAAACTTTGAAAGCGGAGATAAACCAAAGTAAGGATAAAAACATAACATATAATTTATTTGTAGAATAGATACAATTTTATTTAAAAATTTGTCTTTTAAACAGAATTCCAGACGGTAAAGCACCAAGGTTTCCCAAAAAACCGACAATTAGACAAGAAGGGGATGTGTTAATTATGGAATGTGTCCTAGAAGCATACCCTCTACCAGATATTACATGGTTTCATGGGGAAAAAGAAATTAAAGATGGAGCTAAAATGAAAATGTCCAGAAAAGCGATTGCAAAAGATACGTTTAATTTAACACTAGAGATATTAAGCCCCACTAGAGAAGATGGTGGCAATTATCGATGTAACGCTTTCAACTTGTTTGGCGAGAGTAATGCAAACATTGCTCTCAATTTCCAAGGTAATACAGGATCTAAATCTAATATTCATAAGTACGCATACAGTAGCAGTAGTTCTAAGGCTTTTAGGCTTATGAGCTGCATGAGGCTTTTTGTAATATTCTAGGTAAAAATATTGGACGATCAAAAGTGCTATCAATGAGCTTACTTGAATAAAATAAAATATTTTTAGCTTTCTCAATGTAACAAGGGGTATTTTATTTCCTTTTAAAGGTGGGGATGACGAGAATGGTTTCGCACCATCATTTATAGAGAAACCTCGAATCATTCCCAACGAAGATGGCTCGCTCATCACAATGCGTTGTGTTTGTAAGGCCAAGCCGGCGGCTGAAGTCACGTGGTACCGAGGCACGACAGTCGTTAAGGCTAGCAGTAAAATTGAACTCAAATCGAATATAATTAGTGAAGATGTTTACGAATTAGTATTACTTTTATCTAATCCTACGGCAGCGGATGGTGGCGCTTACCGCTGTCATGTAAAGAATGAGTACGGAGAAAGTAATGCTAATTTGAATCTTAATATTGAGGCTGAACCAGAACCAGAAGGTGAAGGTCCAACATTTGTTGAAAAACCTACGATTCAATCTAAAGATAATGGTAAATTAGTAATAATGGGTTGTAAGGTGAAGGCTAGCCCGAAACCGACGATAGTATGGTACCACGAAGGCAAGGAAATCAGGGACTCGTCAAAAATAAAGACCAGGGTCGAAGTTAAAGAAGACATTTACACAATAATATTGGAACTAATTGATCCTGGTATTGAAGACTCCGGATTGTATAAATGCAACATTAAAAATGAACTTGGAGAGCTCAATGCGAATCTCACGCTCAATATAGAAAGTAAGTGAGACAGTTTAGAAACACAGTTCAGTTCAGTTCACAGTTCTGGTGTGACTATTGAAAACATCTTAATATTATTTTTTTTTTACAGTCATTCCAGTTATCAAAGAGAAACCAAAGATCATTAAGATAGTTAAAAAGAAGACTGTTATTGTTGAGTGTAAAGTATTAAGTAAATTTGCACCTTCGTGCACTTGGTTCAAGGAAGCTAACGCTGTCAAAGAGGACTCTAGGCATACTGTGCTAATAGAGCCTCTGAGAGAAGTAGGTGTTTGAATTAATGCTAAACAATATACTTTGGTAACAGACAATCTTATTGTAATTAATAATTAACACTTTACTTGTAGGGCGAATTTACAGTCAAATTAGAAATTTCAAACGTTTCACAACATGACAAAGGATCTTACAAACTCGTCGCGAAGAACGAAAAAGGTGAAGCAACATCACAACAAGTTGAAATCACGGACATACCAGAAGAAAAAGGAGACAAACCACAAATCATTAAACACTTCAGAAGCTTAGTAAGTGAATGCAATTTTAATAACGTACAGGAACTTTTCAATTTATCGTTGAGTTAAACTACAATTAAACTACATTTGTTTTTTTTCGTAGGCTAAAAAAGAAAACGAAGAGGCTGAATTTATCGCCGTGCTGAAGACTTCTGATCAATCATGCCGATGCACATGGTACAAGAATAGTACAGTATTAAGAGATTCCTCTGAAGTCAATACGTCGTTCGATGGTACTAATGCAAGACTGATAATCAGAAAAGTGTCATCAAAATACGTTGCTAACTATAGAGTAGTTATTAAAAATGAATTCGGTGAAGATGAATCCAGCGCTGATCTTACCCTCGTGGAAGAAAAGGTACTATTATAAAAATTTCGTCTACTAACTGAGAATTTTAAAAATATATTATTTACTATAACTCGTTTACAGAAAAAGAAGAAAGAGGAAGAGAAAGAAGAAGAAATTGAAGAAGAAAAAACTGTCATTGAGGAATCGGAAGAGGAAATGTCTATCGTTGAAGAAAAATCAGTCATTGAAGAAAATCACGTTGATGAAAAAAAGAAAGTGAGTATTTATTCAATGCTTAAGAAATTCGCTAGTCCCGCTTTGCTTTAGATTACGGATTACGAAAAGTTTTGAGTTTGAATCATATCTCGGGCACCTGGGTCTGGTGAAGTTTTTGAGCATTTTTCTTAAAGATAGGTGTGAATTATTATTTTCTTTATTTCATTAGAATTTTATTAAGCTACTCGCGTGTTTTCCATATTCAAACATGAAACTACTCTGAAGCAACTTTATGTTATCTCCTTTGTTAGTTATATTCTCTTGTTATAAACAGTTATTAATAGTTTCGATATCAAAAAGTATTAGTAATATTTAGCTTTGTATAAGGAAAAATTTAGACTTTATTTATATGAATATTGGTCATCAACAATAGCTGTTTGATCCGTACAGGTGGAAGAAAAGAAAGCTGCCGCAAAGAAGGTTGTAAATAATGAAGACATGGAAGTGGATGAAGAGGAAGAAGAGATCGATATTGCATCTAAGAAAAAGGAAACTAAAAAGATCACTAAAAAACAAGAAATTATTTCAAAGAAAGAGGAAGAACAAGTCATAGAGGCTAAAAAAATACTTGAAAAGAAAACTGCGAAAACAGAAGAAGAAAAGAAAGCTCTTCTTGAAAAGATTGAAAAGAAAAAATCAGAGCCTGAAACAGAGGCCAAGGTTGATGGTATTCCAAAACTCAAACCAGTTAAGCCAAAAGAAGAGCCTGTTGAAGAAAAGAAGGAGGCTGCCAAAAAGACTGAAAAAACTGAAAAGAAGGTTGTTAAAAAGAAGGTTGTTGCAAAGAAAGATGAGGTAAGTAATAATTTTTCTCGTATTTTAATCATGCAATGTATAAACGCTTATAGTAAATATATTTAGAAAATGTAATAAGAAATAGACAAAACTATAAATAACTTAAGATATTTCATGCATTTCTAGTCTGTAGATGTGATATTGAAATGTTGTTAAAATGATCAGTACTATAAAAAAATGTATATGATCTGTAACAGTTGAATTAATAATGTCCACTACGTAAGTGATAATTTATTAATCATTTTCTGTTGTTTGTGTTTGTGTTAACAATCCATGTGCTAAACTATATTTGAAAATAGGAGGAAATCGAGTTTGTCGACGATTACGAGCGCCCAGTTTTGGAGAAATATGAAAAAATTACACCTACGCCACTTGATAAAAAACTCAAAGAGGATATCACACCAAAGGTAATCACACAACATTATACTACACAATCGAACATAAACTTTATCAAGTACATCTTAGGGCTTAGTTACAATTTTTTTATTAAAATTATTATACCATAAATAGGCTAAGCGCCCATCTGTATCGGAAAGCGTTAGAAGTGAACAAGAAAGTGAAGAAGAACTTTCTGTAGCTGCACCTGTTCCAGAGAAAAAACCAAAAGTTGATAAAGATAAGGTAAAGGAGTTTCATAAAACTAGATTTAAACCTAAAATTTTTAAAATATCCATTGATTAAAATATTTTAACAAATAACATGATCGCTTAGGTCGAGGAAGAAAAACCTGAATCTAAAAGACCAAGTATTAAAAAAGGCCTTCCGAAACCGGAAGAGCCTGTTGATGAAATATCTCAAATCAAATTGACTAAAACACCAATGAAACCTACAGAACAAGCAGCGGAAGAATCTCAAGTAGCTAAAACCAAAAAGCCTGTTAAGAAGGTAAACTAAATATATTATTTATAGTGATATAAACATCATTGATATAAACACGTTGAACAATAAAAAAAATAATTTACTCCCACTCAAATATTCTTATTTATATTAAGATTGAACAGAAAGATGAGTTCGTGGATGATTATGAAAGGCCGGAACTAGAAAAATATGATAAAGTGACACCTACGCCTACAGATAGGACGAAAAAAGAAAACGGTATTGAAGAGGTATATATTTTATACAAAATAACTTTAAAATAATATTTTCCAGTATAGTATTGTAAATACAAAATTGATCAAATATAATATTTTAAAATAATATATATTGTGATAATCATTGCAAAATTTACTTCTTATTTTCGAATCTTTATTATATATGTCGTTCGTATATATTGTAGCCTGCACCCGAATTCATCGATGATTATGAAAAACCAGAACTAGAGAAATATGAAAAAGTTTCTCCGTCTCCTAAAGATAAACGTCGTCCTAGTGATACAAAGGTAATGAAATGTTATGTTTACCTAAGTCTGTATCTAAAAAATGAAGTCATAGAAACTACGTAAATCATAAAAAATCAGTTAAAGAAACAAACAAGTGTCCGTCTATGTAATTTTAAAGTTTATAAAGTTTTGAAAATCAATGACATGCAAAGAATACGAAACACCTGATTGTAAAAAAATATAATTATTCACGCTAAAACCCAATAGTTATATTCCTAATGAAAAATGCTTAAAAGATCCACTTTGTCGCTAGTACTCTTAGATGGGATTCGAAACCACGACCTTTCGCTATTTGGCGACTGCTCTTGTTTTTATATCAGTTTTGAAGCATTTTTCATTATTATTGTGATTGCAAAATTATTCACATATAATAATCAAAAGTTAAATTTAAGAATAATCACAAACATTGTCAAATAAATATTAAATTCTAATAGGATGACACTGAAATGATGAAAGGAAAAATAAAACCAAAAGAAAAGGAAGATGAACCGGAAATGCCTACACTTCGAAAGCGTCCTGTTACAACGGATAAGGTATTTAAATTAATTTTGAAATGTAAAATAATGAGATTCTAAGCCTAAAAATTAAAGCATAATATTTTCAATGTTATAATTTTTATTGATTAGGACGATGAAATAAAGGCAGAAGACAAACCAAAACCTAAAACTAAAAAACCAGACGAACCTCAAGCTAAAAAGCGTCCATCGCTAAAAGAAAAACAGGTAAATCAAACAAAACACACTATACACATTTTTCGAGTGAGCATATATAACACAAGACGAGTTTTCATTTCTAAACTTACCTCTTAACATTATCACACTAAATTTCAAAGATATTGGCTTCAAAATACACACCTTATGCGGTAATCCTCTGTCGCGCCAATTTTTCTCGGTTTTTATATCGGTTTTATTTTAGCGAGAAAAAGTAAGTAAAAGGTATGTCTTTGCCGCATGGTAAATGCTGTACAATGCTTAGCTTTATTCTGTTTTCAGCACTGCAGATATAATATTTATGATGGGAGTTCTTTCTAAAATATAGTGTTTATCTCTCTCTACATTTGTTAATTTCTATTTCCAATCAAGTAGCGATTTTTTCAACAACATGTCTTAACATAACATTCACTGCAATTAAACTCATATTCGATCGTATCAAAAGGTTGCAGAGGAAGAATTCATCGATGATTACGAGAGGCCAGTCCTTGAAAAATACGAGAAAATTTCACCTACACCTACTGAGAAAAAGAAGAAGGTACACATACATATATATTACACTAGCTTTTTTAAAATATTGCTTTACAATATTTCCTTACTGACTCTACTGATAACAAATTTTATTTTATGATATTAGGAAGACAAACCTGCTGATGAAGTCCCTTCAGCCACAGCGACGGCGAAACGTCGCTCTGTTAAAGATAAATCAGAGGTACTGGATCCAAATAAAACATACAAAAGAATAGTTAGTCATGTACTTTCCAAATTAATCAATTTTTTTTTCAATCTCTTAGCCAATGGATGTAGATGAAGAAGTTAGTCTGTCGAAACCAAAAACACCTGCTAAGCCAGGCAAAGAACCAGAAGACGTTTCACTTACACACAAAACTCCAGCTGAAATTAAACCTACGGTTCGTAGATTATAACTTTCGCTTCAAATCAATTTGCTACGATAATTATAAAGCTAAATAATGGCGTAAATAAATGTATACTTCAGGAGGACGAAGCTGAAGCTCAGCTCAGTGTTAAAAAGCCTGAAATCATCGAAAACAAAACTCTTAAAAGACCAGCTCCAAAAGAAAAAGAAACAAAGGTACAGTTGTATTTTTATAACAATAAATAAATATATATCGCATTAATAAGAATGTTAAAAAAGGCAAAAGGCAAATCTTTTAAAATGTCTACGCTTTGTTTAAAGAAAACGCATCAAATTATTCACAGACAGAAATGGTGCCTATCAACAAATATATACCAACATTACCAACTCCGCCTGCCTTAAAGAGAGTTTTAATTCTTGTAAAGGTATTATAGCGCAAAAATAAACTTAGCTTAATCAATTAATTTAGTAATTGTAGAACCACGAAAAATAGTACACTTACTGTTCACAAAATCACTTTTTACTCAATCTTTTTTAGCACTGCACTTTTTTGATTTAGCACACATGTATTTACTCAATGCTTCATCTCTCTTTGTAAAAATGTGTTGTTTGGTAAACATTAAGAAAATGTTTTGAAATAATTTCACTTAAATGTTTCCAAATTCCTTGTATTCCTCAATCTTTCCTAATTTTAATGTAAATATTCCCAATACTTGGACCAGGGTGAGGACACAGAAGAGGCTGTCAGTCTCACCAAGCCTAAAACTAAGACGAGCACTACAGCTCCAGAAGAAGCTTCCCTTACCCAAAAGACGCCTGCTAAGAAAAAGCCGACGGTATTGATTTTAATTTTTATTATCTCAGTTATAAATTTTATTATTAAAAAATGCAATACTGAACTTTAAACAAACACCTTGGTTAACCACGGGTTCCAAAATTCAAGACGAACAATTGATTTTCAATAGGAAGGATCGGAGGCTGCTCAGCTTAAAGTCAAAAAACCAGCTGTTGTCAAAAAAGGAGATGATGAGGTAGACCAAACGCTTGATATGCTTTATCACGTTAACATGATATCGATTGGATTTATCGCAAAGTAGCTGAGATAATTAAAATTTTATCACATTTGTGACTAATATTTTGGTTTTCTAGTATAGGTTAATTAATTTCACCATAATTAGTTTGCACAAAACATTCACAACTGGGTTTTAAAAGCACATCAACTAACTCCCAAGTAAGCATATAATATAACGCTTATAGAAAAATCCATTAAAAGCTTTTTATGATTCCTTAGGCACCTCTCGTAGTACAAGATGGTAAATTTGAGAGACCGATACTCAAGAAAACAGTTAAGAAGCCTACAGAAAAGCCCAAAAAAGCGCAAATTGAAACAAGAGAAGTTGAAGTTATGAATAATGATGTGGTAATTGATATTTCGATTTTAGACACTTCTTCGTGTCGTCTCTATTTTCTATTCTTTTCTTCTTTTTCACATATAAACTTCACAATGTTTATTTATCCGCACACCTACACCTCTTATCAACAGAAGTCTAGTACTAATTGTGACAAGCACTAATAGAAGTAACGAATAAAAAAAAATATGGAATTTCAGTAATATATCCAGCGTTGTCTCAGTCTTCACCTAAGGTTTGTATACTGGATCTTCAGTCGCATGTTGCTTGTTCTGTGTTTCTATGTTCAAGGGTAAGTAGATTTTTTTACTAGTAACGTTAAAGTAGGTATATTCGGTGTCATTTATATTTATCTACTATAAAACTAGCATTACTGTACAGTTAACTTGTAGATTAATGACGTAATCATATTTAATTGTGCACCTAAATTCAAACGCCAATAATTTTTTTGACATCCAAGCAAAATACGTATAATGCGTTGAGTACGGCTCTAATCTTTCTCCACTTGATTTTGAACCGTAATACATCAAGGGTAGATATCAAAATTAATTGCAGAAATTTGGCATATTGTGGTAGTAACCTGACGTGCAGCTATGTTAGCGTGTCTAAATACTTCAAATATTTTACATCTTTATCCAATTTTTCAGCCTGAATTGGACTTCGTTGATGATTATGAGAGACCAGTTCTCGAGAAATACGAAAAGATCACACCCACTCCTACAGTCAAGGACAAAAAAGAGAAAGAAACGACAAAGGTAATTTTTTGGATTTTAAAACATACTAATAGTTAAAGTTTACATGCAGATATGACAGATTTGTAAAAATGGATGCAATTATACCTATCAAATGATATAGATATATATACACTTAAAAGAGGCAGAATAGGAATAACATAAATTACTTAAAAGGAAATTAGATATATAAACAAATCTTATTATTGGCTATTTTGTTTGTTTATTGTTTTAATTTACATGCAAATGTCGATAATGATATAGTATCACAAAGAGGACAGAATATCTATCTGGGAATGAAGACTAGCCGACAAATATGCTGTAATAAAATTGTTTGCCTACTGGTGCCGGTGAAAGTACATTAAAAACTTAATTGTGTTTCAATTGGACCAAATACGAGAAATGGGGTTTAAAACAAATTTACGGTATATGGTGAACTTCATTCTTTGTTCTACGCAAGTAAATTACAAAATTCATCAAGTAGAACAGGTTTGCTAGCGAAACGGCTCATAATTTATCGAGCGATTATTTTAAAAACGTAAAATAAACTTTTCTTCTTTGTTGTCGCAGTATTAGATAATTCAATAAACTACTTCAAAAGATAGTCGATACTGTATTTTTATCAGAATAGCACCACTGTCAAATGAAGGCAATAATACTTTGTTGTCACCATAAAGACACAGGATCTTTATCTCTGCCTGATAAAATTTCCTTTATTTTAAAAATATGTAAAATAAATGTATTTAAATAACAGGTATCGATGGTAGCTCAACAGCAACGTCTAGAAGTAAAGGTAGATTTGGGTTGTCTTCAAAGCATGATTCCCATTCTACATACAAAAAAAAATCGATGAACGATATTATCATAAAGTTTGTGATCCCGATTTTTTTACATATTGTAAATAGTTTTTGCCCATTTTTTTACTTTTATGTCCATCTGTTTTGTCCTTGTCACCGATGTTTGAAAACCAAATTCCGAGTTCCAATGAATATCGCAACTCTTATATTTTTAATAATCTGTTAAGTTGTGATAATTAATTTTCTGTTATTTTCTATGTAGACCGAAAGTCGAAGAACGTCGATCCAAAATGAGGTAAGTTATAATTTAGCTATAGTTCTAATTTGTATGGTAATAAACATAAAGAAATAGAAAACTTATATGGTATTTTAGCTAGATATTTTAATTATGTTATTTTATTTTAAGGTCAAACAAGAAGTTAAAACTGAGAGTCGCAAATCATCTATCGCGGAAGATAGGTCTATGAAAGTAAGTTTACTTGATAAATTTTAACGCGATAAAAACAAATATGCTTCTTTCGCAGCGACTGATTGTAAAATTATTTTACAGTTCACAAAAGAAACTGCTGAAAGCAGGAAATCATCAATATCCGTGGCTGAAAAACAAGAAGTTGGAACAGTCAAAAAGACTGCAGTACAAAAGGTAAGTTTAAGCCATGATACCTTGTGCACTAAATATTTTACATACGTAAACATATTATTAGTGTCCTATAATAAAAGATTTAAGCACATGTCACGATTTAATGTGTGCAGTTTGTTTAATAACAAGACATGGAGCATCCTTTACAGGCTCTGTGGCCACTAAACTAATATATAAATATAGCAACAACAATATTTTATTCTAGAGAGTACAGAGCCTGCAAATGATCTAATAGAAAATTGAAACTTTAAAAGAAACGTTCGCAAACCCGACCAGTAGTCGACAAGATAAAAATTTGAGTCAAGAAAAGATATAGAAATAGTTATGTCCATACCCTGCTAAAGCTATAGAAAACATCCTTTCTCGCTTTGCACATTAGCAGCAAATTTTAAATTCCTGGATGATCTTTGTAGTTATGTCGTAGAATCCCTAAATTAGTCACAGTAATAGATAGATTATTTCAGTTTGTGTTTTATCTTCATGCATACATTTTTTTATTTTTGGTAGTAATAACAAACCTTAGAATCCGACAACCCGAGCAGATATCTAACGCAAATTAAATTCAATACCATCAAGCTTATTTTATTCCTTTTAACTTATGTTTTTAGCCAACCATAAAGGAACCAGAAGCTAATGAATTAGACCAAATTAAATTAAAGGTAAGTCGGCCATTGGAATTCGTTTGCATGAACAAAATTTTTGTTATATATTTCTTCAAGACACGATTAAATGCGTAAATATTTCATTGTGTTCGTCTTCTATGAAAAGAAGACATTACATTATTATATTTTTCTTTATGTAAATTTCTTTTGTAAATAATACTTTCTTTACTTACGTTTATTTCTGTTTCAAAGTTTTGTGGACAAAATTTTTGTGTTCAATAAATAACAACTTTGTGATTAATATTTAAAGCGATAAGTACACGATCCCATTAAAGCAGGTTCCAGGTTAGACTTGAAGAAACAACTGAAAATACCAACACTAATTCGAAGCGCTCACACTTCAAATAACATTTTATTTTTGTAAATAGGATGTCACTGTAGAAATGGTAGAAGAAAAAGTTGCAACAGATTCTATAGATAAGCCATCAGAAACATCATATCCTTGGCGACCTACGAAAACAGATACACAGGTATTACACAGTTACAATACACTACACTCGATTACAAACATATCATATCATTAAAGTGAGAAGGTACATATAATGCATTAAATGAATTTCGATTATCATATGAAAATAAAATTGTTTAGGAAGCTACTGAAAAGTTGGAACCAGACCGTAAATCTAGTTTAGAAAAGCCTGCTGATTCTAAATACCCATGGCGGCGTCATAGTAAAACAAAGGTAGGTTTTCCAATATATCTTATTCATCAATATCACATTATTTAAAAACAAATTTAATTATAATTCTACCTCGTATACTATTGTAAAACAGGAAACCGAACAAGTTAATGAGACCGACGTAAAAGAAAGAAAAATGTCCAAGGATAAAGAACCAACACCTAAGAGACTTCCAAGTAAACCTAATGAGGTAGAAATAATTACAAATATTTTAATATTAATTTTTAATTATTTCAATTTATAAAGAAATAAATTTCTCAAACAGGATGCCAAAACCAAAACAAGTAAAATAACTGAAGCTCAAAATAAATCCTCTGTTGAAGAACCAAAAGAATCTCCTTATCCCTGGCGTAAATCTAGCAAGACTATAGAGGTACATTTAATATTAAAGTTTATATGTCATCTAAAATCAATTTGAACGAAATATATTGATTGAATAACTCTCACATGATGATACTAATGATATAATATTTTAATTAGGAAAAGCAAGTAAATTTAGAGGAAGAAGATAAATCAAAAATGCAGGTTGATGAACCAACAGACATTGCATATCCTTGGCGTAGACCAAGTAAAACAGAGGAGGTATTACTTTCGTCGCATCATCTACTTACGAAAATATATAAATAAATAAAAATTAAATACGTATAGAGAACTTCACATACATTGCTCAGATCCTAATAAATTAGCTAAGGCACTTTTATTATGGAAACCCAGACACGAAACATTATTATAAAGTTCATTTTCCACATTGATCCGGCCATCCAATTTTTTGTTATAACTAAAATAAAGTCCAGTAGTGCTGATAATTATTCTATATTAGATATCTATCTTAGATTAAAATATGACGTCCCTACTTTCCTAGAAGTCAGGAAACTGACGGTATTTGCGATTTCGCATTCTGTAATAGATAATATAATTTAGCGAATTTTATAAAGAAATTAGGTAATGATTTTTATATTTTCATTCGCACTATCCATAGATAAAACAAGTAGTAAATAGTTTTATTGACGTTTCGGACCCTTTACAGTTTCCGTGTTCACATTAAATCAGATAGTTTAAAATATTTTAAATATAACCAAATAATACTATGTTATTAGGAACCAGAGACTCCTAAAGCACTCAAACAATCTCCATTTTATGGCTGGAGGCGAAGTTCCTACGCTAGTATGGAGGTATCAAATACATTTTTTTTTTTCAAACATCATGTCATATATTATATCAGTAAACAAAATATTTAATGCGTAATATTATTTAGGATCAAGGAGAAGAGGTTGTAATGGATGCTAAAATACCTGAGCCTGTCAAAGAAATAGAACCTACAAAGGTATTATTAATCTTATTGTAGGATAATAATGATGAATTCCAATAAAATCTTACTTATTTCAAATTATTTATCAGGAAACTGAACCAGAAAAAGAGATTTCACCTAAACAATCACCTTCCTTGCCCTGGTTAAGAAAGCCTAGTATTGAAGTAGAGGTTGGTATGCTCATAAATTTCATTGACGACAAATTACATGCAACCAAGTACTTTTACACAGAGTACAGAGTAACATGGTTCCTTCGTTTTCAATAACAATAAATATATGTCACAATTTTGAAAAGCTATTTATTTCTTACTCGGAAACACTCACAAATTACGTATAATACACATAATATAAAACGATAACACTGCTTCAAAACATTCAACTGATTCACAACAAAACTGAACAATCGAGAAAGCACATGCACCAAATACATTTCAATTTTTACCTTACACCATGACTGAAATACAATTTATAAAACGACAATTTCACTAGGTACCACCACAACAACCGCAAGGGAAACAACAAAAAGCAAACGAAGTACCGTTCTCCTGGGACGTGATTCCTGAGATTCCTCAGGTAGACAAAATTAGTGTATACACTATACATAGTTGAACAAGCATAAACATATTTTTATAATACGATTATTTCAACCAGGCCGAACAGACACCAGAACTTGAGGATAAATACAAACCAACACTACTAGAAACAACACCTGAAATTGTCCCACCTTGGAGAAGATCCCGTTCTCCTCAGGTATACACTAGACATATCAACATATACTGATCACATTATTGTACATTCCTTCACAATTCATTATATGACATACATTAATCAAAAGACTTCTTAGAAAATGGTTACAAAATCTATAGAGACAATAATTTCTATTTTCTATCAAGTCAATGAATATACATTCACTTCGTATGGTCGCCATAAATGGATCTTATCTATATAGGCTGAGGTCACAGAGGACAAACCTAAAGCAAGCACGCTAGAAATACCACAGCCCGCTTTTAGCAGCAAACCTGATGAGGTATAGATTTCGCAGCAACCGACTCTTATAGCACCAAAATTGATCGTTTTGCACATCGTTTCAGTCTCACACGGGTTTTTCTTTGTTGCCAGAGCACATTGTATGCATTATTTTAGCATTGGCACCGATTTTTAATTTAGTTCTTGAATGCACTATTCTATTATTGGCTATGAATAATATATATCATTTTATTTTTAGCCTATCATAGTATAAGTTGCACTTTAAAAAATTATAAGTAGACATGAGTATTTCAGGATTGGGCATGTGTATAAGATATTTGTTTAAAAATAAATAATCAGCATTAGATAATAATATTTGATAATTTTTAATTCGTCGAGACGAGCACACTTGCAACTATTTAGTTGACGCACAAGTAATAATATAATAAGCGATGTCTGCATTTAATTGAACTAGATTTTTTTCTTTTTATATGTGTGTCTAATACTTTCCTGCTTATGCTTTGCTTATTAAAAAAACAACCTTCAACACAAATATATGTATTATTGTTTAAATGTAATTTGGTAAGTATTTAATGATTTTATTGTAACGTGTCTTAATGTTACTTTAATAATACTAAATAAATTATTCTTTGTCAAAATTATGTTGTTATAAGTTATACCAAAACTAGGTATTTCCAATTCTGTGTAAGATAATTAAAATCACTTTTAAGCAAAGAGTTATCTTCATGACTGTAATTACAGAAAGTAGCAGTAAAGGAAGAAAAGGTCGAAGAAGAAGTTAAAAAGGCCAAAGTTACTTCAGTTAAGAAAAAGGCTGAAGACCTACCTGAAATTGCCGATTATGATAGGCCCGACTTGGAGAAGTATGAAAAAATTTCACCAACTCCAACAACTAGAGACAAACCAGAAAAGGATAAGGTATAATTATTAAAAGTTAAATTTTGATTTTAATAAATAAATGAATAGCATATTGATAAATGAAAATTACATGCAGCCGACTCCAAAGGTACCTGAAATCAAGGCGCCTGAAGAGAAACCGGCAGCACCTAAGATCGAAGTCATTCGAGAGAAGTCACCGAAACCAGAAATGCCAAGGAAATCATCCTTGGTACCTGGAGCACCAGTTGGCAGACGCGGTTCCCTTATTCCTCCACCAGAGGAAATGGGAAGGCGTCCTTCGCTAATCATTAGCGACGAGGTATGTACATATTTTTATATTGATTGCTATAATTTTATATCGAAATACTCATACATATTGTTTATATTGCAATTTAAAGACATCTAAAGGTATGATTTTGAAATTATATTTATTTTCTTGTATCTCTTGAGAGAGATGTAAATATTAATATAAAACTTGATTAAGTTGAAACTTTAATTTTAACAAAATATAGATGTTAATATTTACTGATGTCTCAAGATTGTTTTAAACTTTCTGTGTAGTTTAGATACCCTACTCTCTCAAGCCGAACCCTTAACATAAGTCCTGTTAGTATTTTTATTATTTCCCTTTCAATAGATAGCCAGTAATCATCTTAAAAACGATGCAGCTTCGGTCATTTTTCACCCTGAAATGCTTTTGTAGTTTACAGTTGATTAGATGTAATCATAGGTTTCATGATTTTCCTTGCTTTTTAGAAGAAAGTAGAATTTGCGTACCTACACATTTTAAACACATGAAACACATTATATTAGAACCGTGTTTGTAGGTCATTTATATATAGTACAAAACAATCCACAGGAGAATAGAAAACTAAGACCTGGTGAGGTGGTCGAAGAGAAGAAGGTAAAATCAAAAAACGCTACAGACTATTACGTGAATGCTGTCCGTTATATTGCCGTGATGAAAATCTTAACTATTTCTCTAAGAAGTCGCATTAACGCGTTTGCATCCGACGCGGTTTACAATGCTATTAGTATTGGATAATCACATACCTAAACAACAAAGAAAAGCTATTATAAAATGAATGATATTTCGTATCAAAGAATGACTGATGATATGTTATTATCCAAAAATATTTTAAAGCAATCGTCAGAAGCTCTTCTCAAATGCACAAAATTGTGGAGTCCGCGCACCAATTTGCACAGCTTGTCAGCACGTATCGCACACAAATAATAACGGTTACAGAGATTGTTCGTGCCTTAAGATTCGATATTTTGACAGGCATTAACTTGGGTACATGGTGTAGTTCAGAAAGCTGTTTTACACACCATGGTACGGACACTAACAAAATGATTAACACGAATTATGACGCAACAAGTAACGAAATAACTCTTGCACACGCTGATAGGTTTGCACCAAATAATATTTAAATAAACTGAAATAGATAGGCGCTGTAGGTTCGGCGAAGGAGATGTTAGGTAGGCATAATGGCTTATAAGGGGTTATTATCAATATTTTTTAACAACAGGTCACCAAATTACGCCCTGGAGAAGTTTTAGACGACAAAAAGGTGAGATCGGCTGGGTCTGGTCTGTTTTAGGTGGACGCTGCTCGCTTTGCAAAGCATTTTGTTTCTATAGATGTTTCTTTTTTCTTTTGTTACATTCACGACATTAAAGTACAAATGTAAAAAAAGCACTGTTTTAAAAGAACTTTTTTAGTCTTTATCAAAACAGCAGAAGGTTTTCACATGAACTCTCTCCGTCCAAAGAGACTAAATAGTAACACTACCTTACAAATATCCAACAAATTCATGCTTAATAAATAGTATATTGTCCATAAGTGTATTTCTTTGTTAAAAGTATTCCCCTACACAAAAAAGGGATATTTAAATTCACAAAGACTCTCTCCCAAAAAAGCACATTCATTTTATTTAGATTTTTTCTCTTAGATGTTAAAACCTTTTTGGTTCACTTAATTGCTGCTTTGCTGTCCAGCGAAAATTGGTACTGATATGCTGGCGCAGAGTGTTTTACTATTGTTGTTGTTAATAGAACCGACCTATGAAAACAATGATTTAGTTTAATACATTTAATTTTAACTTCCTTTATGTTGGTTCCATTAACAATACGCTTCCTAGTATCTTTATTAGAATGGCTTTAGTTTTCCGAATTCCCTATAACTGGTGTTTAGTTTATTTTTGATCTAATCCTTTATCTTTAGAATTTTCGACATTTTAAATAAATATTGATACCATTTGTACAGTTTACACATACCTACTAATATACACAAACACATTAACTAATTAAAAAAATCATACGACACATATTAATGTCGCAAACAAATACATTATTATCACACACTGTTTCACACTCATATAATTCATAATTTTAAATGCACAAAACATAATTGAATTTATTAGTATGTAATATATGATTTAATTAAATGCACAAATTAACAGAGAATGTTTCACTAAAAGTAATATTTTTTTCCTAAAAAGAAACGCAGCAGGCCCGGTGAACTCGCAGACGAGGTATATCAATGTGTGAAAAATATATGTTTAGATAAATGTCTAGAAAAAACAACCTTAGAAACGTGGCTAACATAGAAATTTCCAAGTGTTTAATTCGTCAGTCACTAAAAGGATTATTGTTTTTTATGTATTAAGTAATAATAATAGTGTCGAGAAAATGAATTTGGAAATTGTAGAAGTATATAAAATAATCTTCAACAAAATCATAGATGAAGAAGTTGAAGAATTGCTAAATGTTATGGTTGATACAGTAACATTTCAATATAAATAGTGCTCCTAACTTATTGTCATACTAACACAAATCATAACCGATAAAAATAAACTAATGCAAATGCATTTTATAAAAATTAGAACCAAAGCTATGCATGTTTAAACAAATGTTCTATAATTCAATCTAGTTCAGTGATCTTAAAGATATACTAATTTATCGTTACATTGTATTGAAGTTTCAAGAATTACTGCAATAAACTAGTAATTTAATGTAATTGCATGGTCCCACTAAATTTAAATAACTTCAAAACAGTAAACTGCTATAAATTCTATAGTAAATGTTTATGATCACCTTGAAATATCAAATTCTAAGAATGCAGCTACTTCGTCCCAATTTATTATACAACAGTGGTCCTAAATATTTACCTAAACGAACATGCCACAACACTACCAAAGACTATAGCATTAACATCACAGAAAATAATTATGTTACACATAAATAAATTAAACAGCATATATCTTTAAAAGCGAGAGTATAATAAAACTTACAAAATTAGATCTCTAAAGTAAGGTATAGCGGATATCAAAATTTTGTATCCAAGAGAAATTATTCTTTTTTGAAAAATAAAATGCAAAACTAGGAACCGTTAACTTGATGTTGATTAATTTGAAAACACGAAAACTATGTGGCATTCAGTCATTTGAACTCTACCCGCTAGGGATCTTGCGTGAAAATATTACATAGAAAACACGTTAATGATTTAGATATTTTTTAATAAATAAATATTTAAACTTCATTTATAAATAGATACTTATATAGTATTATCGTTATTTATTTTCTTCCAGCTGTAAATATGTTTCCTTGACTAGTGGGAGTACATAATATTCTCAGTCAAAATGAATAATAGCCACAATAAATATGACTAATGCAACATATATTTATAAAAATAACATCACATTGTAAAACATACTATAGGATACTAATATTATTGGAAGCTGTCGTTATCATATAACAAATATGAAAGTTATGGAAAAAGAAACGAATATTATAACTCTATTGTCTTGAAAGAGTATTATTAAATTCAATCTAAAGAAAATGTTGCCGAGATTAGTACAGTGACTATTAAAAATGAAGAAGTGCACGCACCTGCCCATAGAGGTATTGCATTTGGTGACGTTGGTCCGCTTAATGAAGCAAATGAACCACAGTGACTGCGCCAGCGCCGCCCTGATGAACACGTTATGATTGATTATTATTCTTATAAATATGACTATAGGAACTAGGCCAAGAGCACAGCAGCGGTCTTGCGTTCCTGCCCTTAAGTGCCGCATGCTGCCAGATATATTGAGTTATGGCTACGTGACTAAATATTGTTAAAACCTAATATATCAAAGTCAAATAACATTAAAACTGTCGATGCGTTGGAATTAAAACTCGATCGATAATATTAATTTATAATTACTATAAAATTCTAAATCAGAAGACTTGTTTATCTCCAGAGATAGAAATAAAAATAAATATGTAATGGAAGAAGCGATGGAAATAACGTTAGGAAATTGTAAAGAACAACTTATCAGGAACAATAAATAGGAATAAAAAACAGTAATAATTAATACTTGAAATAATTAAATCAAGAATGTCGCCTTATATAAATAAACGTTGGGATAAAATTAAAACAGAGGTGAGCTTCACCAAAAATAGCAATAATAACAATGTAGTTTGATTGACATATTAGTTGAAGTATACCTTTTAGTGGACGCGTGGGCTGTCTCACAGTTGCTCTTCTAATGGTAACATACGAGCCTGGTCTGAAGACTCTTGGCAATGTAGCCAAAGTTCACGATAAAGTCGAATACGTATTGTATCCAAATCTGATTTCATTAATCAATATATTGACCAGTACTCATTCAAAGAACTTCTTAGGTTTACAAAAAGAATAAGATATACACCTGCCATAAGTAGTAGGTACGTTAATCTAAAAATCTTTCACGTATAATAAATAGTTTGTTTTATTGCTAACACATTCAATAACGAAGATGACAGTGACTAAATCCTAGGTATTTGTCGCCTTGTTAGTAATTTGTGTACCTATTTGAAGAAGCGTGTTCCTTGCCAGCGATGACAATCGTTTGAATAATTAGCGTTTCTAAAAGGTGCCAATCAATCTCTCGATACTCTTACGCAATCTTTCAATCTCATATAGGTAATTTATTATTTTAGACAACCATAACTCGTCCCACGTACAGCTTTTTTAGATAGCTGGCTTCGAATCCAATGTGATTTGATCAAAGTGAAGGAATGTATCCATATGACAATGTGGGTGAAATAAATTTGGAATTCAGTGACTCATATAGATTTGAAATAAAACAACACATTCTTGACACTATCAAAGGATTGGATGAAGTATTTTATTTTATAGAAAATGCCATGGGACAATTACCATTTGTCAATTTTTGAAAGAGTTTGAACCTGTTTTCGAAAAATCAGCTATCAGTCTGATATCAGCTTCATCCATTTATATTTGTATCCAAGAATATGCTACACGGATAGCTCACCTTAATCTGATAATTAATTGAAATGGTCTGCTGATTTGTGCTGTGCACAAATAGATGCCCGCACTCCCCGCTCCTCACAGTATTGCTGGCGACCATGTCTGCACGACCCCTTCTTCAGTCTTTTGACATTCGCGCCCATTTTTAGATGGAACGATACTAACGAACTGTCCCAAATCGAAAATCTATCGAGTGTACAAAAAAGTATAAAATAGGGTGTAACACTTAAACGAACAAAGAAAATCCGAGAAACAATTTTTTGAAGTAAATTGAGCATTTATAGGAAAGCCTTTTGTTATTATAATGAATAATTCTAGTTTTGGTAATTGAAAAAAATTAAAGAAGTTTTTATGGACTCCGCTGATACTCATATGTGACATGATTATGAATCTAAGGGACATTTTAATTTTAAGTGATATTAACGTTGGTTGTGTTGTGGCATTGAAATAGTTTAATGTTATTAACAATATGGCAGCAGTGGCAAAAAAATCACTTGCCCCGCCTAAGCCTAAGGCTGATCCGGTAAGTACAAATAGTTTTGAAACCTTTGAATAATAATCTTCATGTACGTACAGATCATTGAAATATTTTAACAGGCTTTCAAATAGAAGTAATTATTACTATTATTTGAAGAAGCATAAAAATTAGAAGAAATATAGATATATATTAAATCTTCATGGAGTATATGAAGCTTTATTTTTTCGCTGCTTGATAAATTAAAAATGATAAACAGGTATGAGTACTTCAGAAGCAATTGATATTTATTATACACATTTTTCAAGAGAATTATTTTGAATATTGTAATAAGTTACCTCACAGTTAACTATTAATTTTCGGAAAAAAAAAAACATTCAACAAGACTGATAATGACAGTCGCTATTTAAAAAAAAACTCTTTGAAACTAGAATTGGTATTTGATCTTGAAGCATTTTAAACTTTAACCAATAAGATTTTAGGAATATTTTTTCAAATTATGATGATAGCAGTACTTATTAAAATTATGTACCGATTTAAAACCCGACGACAGTGATTTTTAAAACTAGTATTGTCTAGAATTACTATAGTAAAAAATAACTCAAAATACTTATACTAAGTAAAGCAAAATTACTTGGCATATAGTCCCTGGCATCTCAGGGTACCAGGGGACCAAGAGGATATTTAAGTATTTATAATTTAAAAAAATTTTCAGTACAGCATTGTGCATGCGAAATCGACCAAATATAATAAGTACAGCTATCATCATGTTTTGAAAAATATCCTCTGTGCATATGTGCTATATTTATCAGGAAGTCCAGATCTTCAGTGTCAGGGCGTTTGGCTAACGCTCGTAATGTAGCTCATTTGTCATAACATAACTAATATTTCAGTTACGAAACTTAAACTAAATGTAGCTTCGGGTAATTTAATATTTTAATGATCTTTGCTACTGATGCAGTTACTATAAAGACTGATGATTTATTGATAGGACTAAGTTTTTTTTTTGTTTAACTGACCTTTCCTTAAGGTCTTATATTTTACATATTATATGTTGGTTTTGTCGTTAACCCATGATAATTCTTTTGAATTCTGGGATCTTTTCACTTACTTGGTTATTATGATATAGCGACGAAAGTCCACCGATGCCAGGAGGCCTTCCATCCAGGACTTGGAAGATCTCATCAATAAGCCGTCAGTGCCTCTAAAACCTCTTGGCAATGAAGGTCCACCTGTCATCGTTGACGTACAGGAGAGCTACTCGGCTGTTGAAGGTACATTACTTTGTTAATTTATAATAGTCTTCTTAAATATAACTGCTAAATGTTTAAGAAGAAGAATAATGTAGATGAATAAGAAGTGACGGTTTTGTCATTACGCTTTCCCACTTTCTAGCAGATTTTTTTGCCTTATATATTAGTTTATTTTTCCACTCTTATGGCTATTAAATTCAATTTCTTATTTTACTTACTTATATCACAGATTATTTTCTTTTGAGATCCTTATTTAGTAAAATTTTCAAAAATCGATTATTAAGATTGTCATAGATTCTGTAAAGAAGTAGGATGTTGTTATTTTAATTTTATATGGAAATTTTCAACAAAAAAAGTGTTTTTAGCAATAAACAAAATTTGAGATGAGCTCCTTTACAATGTATAATATTTTTTATGTTGGTAACAGATCAAACTGGCTACATCACAGTACAAGTGGAGGGTAATCCTCCACCAACATTCAAGTTTTACAAAGGTGTCACAGAAATTATTGAAGGTGGCCGTTTCAAATTCGTCACGGACGGTGAAACTGGTCTTATTACACTTTGTATGAGAAAAGTTAAACCTAACGATGAAGGTAAATACAAAGTTGTTGTCAGCAACATACATGGAGAGGACTCAGCTGAGACGCAACTCTATGTATCAGGTAATAATATAAAGGACAATGGACTAAGAGTTATGCATACTTTATCAATGAAATAAAAAGAAACATATAGGTGAATAATCCTAATTATTTCTACAGACTCTAGTGGCATGGACTTCCGTGCTATGCTCAAGAAAAGGAAATACGCAAAGTGGGGCGAAAAGAAAGAAGATCCGGACTGGGGTGATCTCAAGGAAGTTGAGAAACCTATTCCACCACTTAAGAAAGTGGAAAAGGTAAAATTACTTATCTATTTCTATAATGTATATTGTCTTCAATGTTAGTTAATCAATCTGTATTCTTAAAAGTTGAAGATGGTGATATAAATGTTATAAATGATAAACTCACATGTTAATTTCACTTTAAATTTGCTATTATCAGATTAACGTAGAAAGTTTATATTTGCTTTGACCGTTAATATTTCTAGTTGTTGTTACCACGGGGATTGTTTGGTTCTAACGAAAATTTATGAATGAAAAATACATGCAAGATGATGAAAGGGAATGTTGAATATGCTTTGACGAATGATTCTGATTGTAAAAAAAGTAAACGAGAGAGTGCTTACAGAAACGCATGGAAGAGACAAAAATACTATAAAATAGAGTAATCAAAATAATTTAGAGATTTCCTACAAATAAATAATAATAAAAAACCTTGGAATGAGGTAACTAGAGCAATGTTTACTTTCTACGTTGTACTGTGATAAACTTATAATAAAAATAATATCTTGACCTTCTAAAAGAAGCAGCCCCATCAGGCCATTCTTTGATTTTATTTAAAGAGTAGAATTGAGAATTACCTTCTCTTGTTTTCTTCTTGAGTGCATAGTTGAGTGTTATTATACTTATAGTTACTTTCAAAAACCTATCAAGTAGTTCATTATGAAGCATATTATTTACTTTTACGGAAGAATCATTTCTTCGTTAATGTTTTATGTACAGTATAAAGTGCTCAATTATTATCAATTTAATGTTTACTCATTAAAGGGTTTCAAATTTAACATTAAAGTCGAATGCATCATCGTATTTAATTCCTAGGGACTAGAAACTGGGTATTTCGAGGAAGATGGCTTCCTTGTGGTAGTGTCCGAGGGTATGGAGATGCTTAGATTCCCGGCTGACAGACGCAGGAACTCTTCAAACTGGTCCTGGGTTAAGGTCATCAGTATTCTAAACTATATATTTGGTTATGTCTTCATCAGTCATTCCATCTTACATATGTTAACTAAAACCTCACTTTCAATCATCAAACTATTTATTCACTAATTTGCATACATCACACATAGCTAACAATAATCACAACACTTTATTTTATAATTTACACTAGTTGTCACAGCGCGAGCGGAACTAAGACTGCCATGCTTAGGTCGGTTGCTTGCTTATATAGTCGCCATCTTGCACGTGAACGTCATTGTGCGCCGCAAGATGGCGTCACCGGCGTCAACTTCCGGTCGATTAATGTTGATTTCATTAAGTTGCCAACACGGCCATTCTGCAAGGCGTTTGCCCCAGACGCCACAATTTTATGGAATATACTGAAACTGATAATATGAAATTAAATATGAAATAATGTAAATGTCACACGTATAATGTTCAGTCTTCTTAACATGTTCACATACTGATCGCAAACAGAATATTTTGAAACTGAAGACCACTCGCACTTAAAGGGACTTTTCCTCACTTAAGAGACCAAGTTCGTCTTTGTTTCCATGACGACTAAACTGAAGACCACTTGCACTTAAAGGGATTTTACCACACTTAAGAGACCAAGTTCGTCTTAGTTTTTGCAACCACTCGCACTCAAAGGGCAATAACCTCACTTAAGCATACCGAGTTGGTTCAACACGTCCTACCTCACTTATATACGAGTCAGTATGTTTACACGCATGAACTATATTTAGGTAACTTATTTATTTACCTTGGAATACCGACGGTTTTAGGTATTTTTAATTTCTATTTATTAAAATAACAAGTCAGTTACAGGAAATATTTAAAAGTTATATGTTATTATTAGTAGTTTAACATATACTTAATAAAGGTGTAAGGTAATGCGGTCATATTGTTACTAATATCACACATAAGTAACTGTTTCCACATTTGTTTGTCTGTTAGAAAACTACTTGCACTTAAAGGGACTCTGCCGCACTTAAGAGACCAAGTTAGTCTTCCACCCTGCACAATAGAGCCACTTGCACTCAAAGGGATATATACCCACTTGAGCGTACCAAGTTCACTCACAATTATGCCTATGTACCTTTCAATATGTTTACAACAATTATTAATGTGTGACATAAATATAAGTTAAAGCATTTTATCTTGACTCGCAAACCTTACGTGTATACTCGTATTACTTTATAAACCAAATTGTTATGCCTGATGTAATATTTTACTTGTATACATAATTTTTTTTTTATGTGTTCTATTTTTAATAAACTATGAATTAGGTAAGATACCAAAAACAGTATATTAAGGTGTTTACCTTGCCAACACGAATATCTATTATATACATAATATAATCACGTAATTATTCAGATTCATTCCAGTTGTCTATTTTAATCCACGGCTTCATATTTTCAGCCGCTATCACGCCAGTATACTTTTTAAAGGATCTTTCACTTCCTTTAAGATCCGTTACCTCATATCTGTCATTTCCCACAAGTTTTTTGACTTTGAATGGACCCAAGTGGTCTAAATGAAGTGTATGAAAAGGTTGAGCATATTTTGGCATTGGAAATAATTCGCCTTCCTTGGCTCCCCCTTTGTTTTTGAAGTATATACAATTTAAACAATTTTTTATGTACTTTTTTATAATACGACGCATGTGGGGAAACCAGTAAAACTTTGATATTCTTTCTACAGTTTTGTCTACAGAAAAATGTCCAATGTCATCATGGTTGTATTTAATTATTTGCCAAATACATTTTTTTGGTACCGACCATCGACGACCCTTTGCTGTTCTTCTGTAAACTTTTGACCCAAGCAATTCGTATTTGTCAAAAACATCTCTATTTTGGTCGGCCTCTCCCGATTCTAAAATTGATTTTAATTGTTGAATTTTAGAGTCTTGTGTTTGTGAGAAAAATTAGAATTATTGCTGGAAAAACCCTAAAAATAGCCCTTTTCTTTTTCCCATACAAATGATTTGTAACTAAAACGTAGTCAATTTTAGCTTTATTGCTATGGTATAAAGTTCATATTAAATTACAAGCACTCACTGTTGTCTAAGCAATGTAGATGTGTTCCTAACGTCAAAGATCATATCTATCAAAACAATGTGCGTGTGTGCGTTGGAGCACAGAATACATAGTTGGAGGAGTTTAATGTCGCGTTCCGAAACTCGCGTTTCTTTTGTATTAGTTTCGGCACGCAGAATTTTTTTAAATACGTAGGCAAAAAAACTGCCACATTACAAATCTTTTTGACAGGACGAAGTCTGTCGGGTCAGCTAGTTTCAAATAAAAATTCTTGTGTAGCTAATACCCATCGAGCTATGCGTGGGACAATATTTTTTTTTTTAGTGAGCGCATATCGTACAGCACTGCAGTCAGTTATGATTTTAAAATTTGAACCTAACAGATATAGGCGGAATTTTTGGAGCGAACAAATAATTGCCAACAGTTCTAATTCAAATGAATGGTATAATTTTTCATTTTCGGTAGTTTGCCTACTATAATAATGGACTGGTTTTTCAAATGAGGGCATTTGTAATTTGCATAAGTATTCCTGCAATACCCTCTCGACTAGCATCAGTGTATAAAACACTATCTCTATTGGGATCAAAAATAGACAGGAAATTATCTGATGTTAATTTATTTTTTAACGATTGAAATGTCTCTTCTTGTTTGTCTTCCCAAGCCCAGGTAGTATCCTTCTTTAACAGTTTTGTCAAAGGCACCAAAATCATTGCGCAATTTTTAATAAATTTCCAAAAATAGCTTATTAGACCAATGAACTGTCGAAGTTGGTGTACTTTTGAAATCAAGACTTGAAAAACATTTGTGACCAGAAAGTCTATCAATAAGGTCATCAATACGTGGCATAGGGTACTTATCCTTAATAGTTATTTTGTTTAATAACCGATAGTCTATACAAAGTCTTTTTTCTCCATTTTTTTTTTTTTTGTTACAAGAAGTGCGGGGCTCGCATAAGACGATCTACTTTCGCGTATGATGTTATTTTCTAAAAGTTCATTTACTATATCACGTATTATTTTTCTATCGTTATTAGAAGTCCTAAAAGGTCTGCACTGAATCGGTTGTATATTGTTAACGTTAATTTCCATTTCGTGATGATTAACTTTCCCTAACTCTTTAGTATTGAGTGCTACACAATCTCTATATATACTGAAAATACATTTTAACTCGTTATGATGAGAGTCGGTGTCTAAATCTAGTTCATTGATACTTTTACAGGATTCGCTGTACCCTATTGCATAATGAAACCTAAAGGTATTTCCTACACGTATGTACATCAAATCTGATCGCTCAGTTACATTCCTACCTATCAAAATATCGAACAACTACTTCCAGTATCTATAAAAGCTTCACACTTCACGTGATTTAGTATTATATTTTTAACGAATTTGTTACGAGGGTTGGGGGTAGAAATAAATTTAGTTTCGTGCGTTTCGGTTTTCGTCAGTTTTTTGTGAAAGCATACAGCTTCTAAATGTCCCCTTTTCCCACAGAAGTCGCATTTATTTTTATCACATTGATTTCGTTTATGATTCCCACCACAAATGAAGCATTTTAACGATTTACGTTGTATGTTCTGCATGGTCGCTAGTGAACCAGATGGAACAGTTTGATCTATTATGGTTATACTACCTCCATTTGTGGAGGAAGTAGTTGGTTGTGCGACGGTTTGTCGTGGTTGGTTTTCACAAGGAACATTTGAAGATTTAGGAAATTTGGATTTGTATATTCGACCATGCAAAAAACTTGCTAGATTTTCACATGTTGTAAACTGATTAGCGTCTATTGATGCTAATAAATTTGCCTCTCCTATGTTCCCTAAAATAATAGATATAATATCTTGTTGTGTAAAGTTTAGTGACGAACGATCGATTTTACATTTTTGATCAAAGTAAAAATCGTATAAAGATTGATTTTCTATGGGTTTTTTATCGAGTATTTCTTTTAGAAGATCAAAAATATTTCTCCTACTTTGAAAACAAGCCGATAGCTTTATTCGCCAATCTTTCCATTTCCAAGATGGCCACTGATATTCAGTATGTAATAAGGAGTCGTACCATGTTTTAGCGGAACCTTTCAATTTGTTCAAAGCTTGATAGCGAATCACTTCATCCGACCAGGCAAACGTTTGAGAGTAAGATTCGATAATATTAAGCCATGCATTTACGTCGTCTATTAACGGGTCAAATTCTGGTATGATATTGCACAATATTAAGCTGTTGTTTGTACTTACAGTCGCGGTGTCAGTTTTGTGTGCTACCTTTTTCCTTTGTCTCGGTGAGGGCGACGGTGTTCGAGCGCTACTCGAGCTACTCGACGTCGAACTCGAGCGTCTTTCGCGACGTTTAGAGCGCTTCCTGCGAGAGCCCATTGGCGCCTAATATCCCACTTCTGATGTTAACTAAAACCTCACTTTCAATCATCAAACTATTTATTCACTAATTTGCATACATCACACATAGCTATCAATAATCACAACACTTTATTTTATAATTTACACTAGTTGTCACAGCGCGAGCGGAACTAAGACTGCCATGCTTAGGTCGGTTGCTTGCTTATATAGTCGCCATCTTGCACGTGAACGTCATTGTGCGCCGCAAGATGGCGTCACCGGCGTCAACTTCCGGTCGATTAATATATCAACGTTATTTTCCTTTTTATAATATGAACTCTATACTGATCCATAGAGTATGTTCTTTGTATATTTATTTAAGTACATTAATGTTCTCAGTGAATTTCAATGCTTATTTCAATTTACTAATAAGCCACCAGACTCCATGGCTACAATTCAAGTACTATTTGAAACTTCATTTGTTTTAAATTTAACAAATCTCCCTGACGTTTCATGTCAAATCCTGTCACTGTCTTGGTGTCAGTCAATAGATACAAATATCGCGAGGCAAAAATCATTTTGAAACATTGAAACGTATTGTGATAATGGGTGAAAGATTATTCAAAAAAATTATAGATGCATTTAGAATCTTCCACTTTAAAGTAAGTTCACTAGAGCATATTATTATAACTTCATAAATTTAAATTTAAATCAGAGATGAAACAACCAGCAGAGGTCTATATCATTTTCATTAAATGCATGTAAATCATGTTTATTGCAGATCCATGATTTTTCATTATAATGCATCCTGTTTTATTATATCTACTTCAGAATTTAGCTTTAAACAATTTTGCTATCTAGCAGATGGAACATTGACAGATTCTGTAACTTTATTATCGATTCTAGGGTATCTATGATATACGGAGACGTATGTCTTTATCAGAAATAATACCTGATTGGCCAGCTTTGATGGAGGCTGTTAAAATAAAGGTTCGATAAAAGAGAAGATTTAAAGTAAACATAAAGACGAAGAGCTGTCAGCCTTTCTGGATTATGATGAATAAAGTATCAAATACAAATTATAGTGAATTTAATTTCAGAAGGACTGACAGGCACTTAAATTTAAAAACCTAAACTTAACACTGATAAACTAAAACTAAACTAAAATTATCCTCTGAAAGCAAAGCCTCCTAATACTACAAATACACAAATATGTGTGTAATATTTATGTGAAACACGCGGGCTATCCATAAATGAAACCTTTTTTAAACGATTCCACATATTAAAAAAACACATTATATTATTATCGGGACTAAAAATGTAATAACGCTAATGATGTATTAAAATTCCACGATGCTTATAGGAGGCTCTGTTGACTGAGCGATTTAAATAAAAAAATGCATAAAAATGGAATTTAAATAACTCGCACAAATGTTTTTGTATCACCACTTCACCTTTTCTTTAACGTTTCAGGGAATGTAAGTGGAATGAATTTGATGATTACATATAAGTTTCTGGAATTTTGTCTAGTCTCTGTATTTCCAGGGTTTTCATTTGACGTTGGATTGAAGAGCTTCTGTCACGACATTAATATAAAGTCTTTGTTCACCTTTTTTGTGAATTTAATTAATAATAATTTCAGCTGATGCATCCGGTATTCGCAGATGTTGGAATTTATTTTTCGATATGTCTTGTGCATTACGATTACTTCCAATTTCATTAGAATATTAGCTGATTTTGAAGAAGCTGTAGTCAGATATTTGAAAATAGTGATTAATGATTATGTGATAAAATAAACTCGTAAATAGGAGAATGATAATAATGGACCTTAAAAAGTTTTGATTAAGGTTAAGTGGATTTTTATAGAGATCATATAACCGAAGACCGTCATTGGCGGAACTGATTCCCGACTGGCCGGTTCTGCACTCGTTCAAAAAAGACGAGGTTTGATTAAGAAAGAAAAATAATTCATAGTCGGCACTGTGCACCGTGTATTAATTTGTCACAATGCAAATCTACTTGTCACAATGCAAATCTACTTGTCGCACATTCGATTGTTCAATCGGGTTTAAATACTTCAATATTAGAAGGGGTATTGGTATTAATAAAAACTTGATTAGTAGTTAAAAATTACACAGCAGATGCAATGTTTTTGGAATTTCATATTTTATAACAACTCAATCAATTTTTATACTTGAAAAATATTCTTGTCTTAAGCCAACATGAGGGCTCTGCAGCATATAAAAGTGAAAAATCATATATTCGTGGGTAATGTCTGCGTCAATATATAACCTGTCTTTTTCCCTAAAAACGTTTAAAAATGCAATTGTATGCATCATCGAAATTATGTACAGGATTTTTTTTTTTGCAACAGAAAACATTTTTGCATTTTGCAATAGTATGTATGTTGACCACCAGTTTTAAATATGTTTTTTGACTACTACCTGTTTTTATCGTGTAATTTCCCTTTACAATATTGGAGTATCGTTTCTCTTCAAAAAGGCCACTAGACGATATAGCCAGCACATCTATGTTTCTATTTTTATGAATATAATTATCTTCACCTTTTCTTTAAAATAGTCATCTCTTCAGAGCACTTCTTCGTCAACTTCTGTACAATAAGTTGCACAACGCACAAAAATGTCAAATGCACGGTCAAATTGATGTTCATTGAAATGTTTATTTATAGTTGTATTTATGAGTCTTCTATGCCATTCTTCGTTTCATTTTGTATTATTGGTTATGTGATATAGTTTATCCTTAAAATTAAATCGGTTGACAACGAAATGAAACGAAACTTTTGTGATTCTTACGTAAATGAATTATAATTTTGTATTACCCGATTACCTACCACGACTTTTCGAGATTTAAATCCGACAAAAAGCACAATGAAATTCCAATTTCTGTATAAAAGCATGTAGTTTGTGGATGACGATGATGATGATAGAATGGCTGATCATCTTAACGCCTCGGCTGATGGTAATGGTTATTACGATTTATTTTTGTTTCCAATGATTTGCATCTGACTTAACTCGCCGAGTGACGTTGACAGCGATGGGATAAATTCGAGGATGTCTTCAATTAGCACCTCAAAAGCTTTGTATGAAGAGCACCTCTTTGTGACTGCACCTTGTATTTAAACGAGTCAAGTATATCTATTAATGAGCACTGGACATCTTTTTCAGAAACAAGAGTCTTTCCTAAAGCCCCTTGTAGACCAATTTGCGAAAGAAGGCAAAGATAAAAAGGTTGTATTTGAAGCTATCTTCACTAAGCCAAATTCCAAACCCAAATGGTTACACCGTAAGGATGTAAGTACTTCACACAGAATATTAAATTGTTTTTTTATTTCCAATGTCAAGGAGATTTTTAATTATTATCAATATTGAATTGCTGCTTGTTTATCCAATAGGAAATATTCCCGAGCTCTAAATACAAGATAATAAATGAGCAGGATTCTTACAAGTTAGTCATCTCAAATCCGAAAGTAGAAGATACTGGTAAAATTACCATTGAGATTGGCGGAATTACTAGTACTGCCTTTTTACAAGTAGATGAACCTGATCCAACGTACAGCTTTACTAAGCAATTAAAGAAGACAACAAGTGGGTACACAAAACACGAGGTACTCCTCGAGTGTGCTGTCTCCAACAGCCTCGCCATTGTTTCGTGGTGGAAAGGAGAAACAAAGCTTGAGGATGGAGAGGAGTTCCAAATATCCAAGGATCTGTCTGGCGTGTGTAGGCTTTTAATCAAAAGCGCTAAATTGGAAGATGCCGGAAAATACGCATGTAAACTTGAAAAGCAACCTGACAAAACAGAAACTGATGTTAAGATTGTCGGTAAGTAATAAAATGATTACAAAATCGTTGTTGATTAAAATTTTACGAAGAGCGTTTTGTAATTCAATATTGTTTCGTTTGCAGAATACCCCTACAAATTCACAAAAGTACTTAAATCGCAACAAGCTATAGAAAAAGATACAATCACACTACTTTGTGAACTTGATGATGCCGGCGGTGACGTAAAATGGTTCAAGAATGATGAACCAGTGAAGGCTGACAAGCGAATCTCTATCGTCAAGGAAGGTCGCAAACGCAAGATCGTTATCAAGGATGCTAAAGTAACTGACGCCGGCAATTACAAATGTGTCAGTAATGCTGATGAGACAAAATGCGAGTTAATTGTCAATTGTAAGTAGACGTTCGTGGTTTTGAAAACGTTTATATATGCCATTTGATAAAAGACCTTTTTATGATAAGACTAGTTATTTATTTAATTCTACCACATCACTTTATTTCTAATTCTGTCATGAGAACAAATTATCTTTCAAAAGTAGGTCTAATGCAAATATTTGATGAACCTATTACTCTTAACCAATAAATCGAGGTGGGACGTGGTTATTGTTTGTGTTCATTAGACCTTAACGATATAGATTGATCACCGCATTTGTTTTTGAAATAACATAACAGTTAATCTGAATCGAGCATTCTTATAAGAGACATTGTGGCCGTATATATTATTTTTTTTAACTTAGACTCGAATCGCTTCAACAAAAAGTTGAAGGACACCGAAGCAATTGAGAGGGACAAGGTTGTATTGGAGGTGGAACTTCAAGATCAGACTGCTGAAGCAGTCTGGTCTTTCAATGGGGAGCCCATTGTACCAAATGACAGGTGCGTTTCATATTACATTTCAGTATAAAAAAAAAATAAGATGATACGTCACCGATAATTTATATACATTATTTTCTTTTCTAATTTTATAAAAATGGTATCTACATCAAAATACAATTACATTGGTTATCATGTTAAACTCAAATATATATTTGTCCTTGATTAACCGAAACAGTTTCAGTAAGTCTTCTTGGTCAGTTTTAGTATTGTAAATCTATAATATCTGTTTATGAAAATATTTAGAATTGAAATCAAGAACCTGGGTGGTGGCAAACACCAGCTCATATTCAACAAACTTGAAATGGAGGACGATGGTGAAATTCTGTGTGAATCTGGCAAATTAAGTTCATCTTGTAAACTTACTGTAAAGAAAGGAGAATCGAAACCAGCTATCGATTGCCCTGGAGATTTCTATGGACCAGCAGGCCAACCATTCGTTATTGAGGTGCCTTATAAAGGTAATACGACGTTTTAAGGTAATCATACCGCTAACAATCTTTCATCTCAATGATTTCTTGCTTAAATACTGATTTTCTTAATTTGTGGTTTCATAGTTACTGGCACCCGACAAACACCAGTTGAAGCCAAATTATGGAAAGACGGAAAGGCCCTTCCTATTAAGGAAGTTGAAGCCGTGGTTGAACAGGAAAAAGTATTATTCAAAATCAAGAAGCCGACCAGAGAGGGATCTGGTAAATACCAGATTAAACTTTCCAACGCCCAGGGTGAAGATTCCAAGGATGTTACGATTACGATGCAGAGTGTACCAGAACCACCGGAGAATGTGGAAGTGGCTGAAGTATTCCAAACATCTTGTGTGGTTTCTTGGAAACCACCTAAGGATGATGGTGGTAGCCCACTTGTCAAATATATTATTGAGAGACAAGTAAGAATATAGATTATTTTAATTGACTAAACTAAATAAGTACAGACATACAATAATATATTTATTACTTCCAGGATTTGTCTCTAAAAGCGGGTTGGGATAATGTAGCAGAAGTACCAATAGGCCAACCAACTAAATTCAAGGTCGAAGATCTTATTGCTAAAAAGACATATAAATTTAGAATACGTGCTGTCAACAAGATCGGCTCCAGTGAACCTGGTCTATTTGCTAAGCCAGTTTTGGCAAAAGATCCTTGGGGTAAGTCGTAATGGGGTGTTCATAATAAAATAAACTATGAACCCTGGATGTATTTACATGTGATATAATCATTTCAGACGAACCATCAAAACCCAAGAATGTGGAGCTCGTGGATTGGGATAAAGATCACGCTGATCTCAAATGGCAAAAACCAGACAACGATGGTGGTGCACCAATTACTGGATACGTTATTGAATACAAGGTAAAAAAAACATATGATGTATAAATCATCAATAATTACAACATTAAATACATAAGGTATATAATACACTCCCACTTTTTATTTACAGGAGAAATTCGGGAAGGACTGGGTAAAAGGCAAAGAAGTACCTGGTGATAGCTTATCGGCTACTCAAGACGGCTTGAAAGAAGGCTGCACATACGAGTTCAGAGTACGAGCTATCAATAAGGCAGGCCCTGGTGAACCCAGTGACAGTACCAAGCCAATTATTGCCAAGTGTAGATTCGGTGAGTAGAATTATACCTACTTTTAACAATGGTTATCACTAGTCTCAAAATTTTCTGACTTAAAATTTTTCCACAGTCAAACCGTATATTATTGGAGATGGTCTCCAAAACCTGATCATCAAGAAGGGCCAAGTTATCACCTTCGATATCAAATATGGCGGTGAGCCTGAGCCTGAAGTCAAGTGGATGAAGGGTGAAGAGGTAAATAAATATTATCTTATTTTAATATAATTTTAGTCTATCCTTTCTCCAGAACATAACCTATGTTTTTTTAGATATTTTCTATTGTTTCGTTTTGGTACGAACTAAGTTATTGTTATTAATGTTTATTTTACATTTTTTCCTCAAAAAGAAACGCGGAAAGGCGTACACAGAGAAGGTTAGAGGGTGAATCTAGATGTTGTGTTTTGTCTATATAAATGTTTTAAAATCTACTGATACACATTATCTCTCTACATAAATGTGGCTAACAGAACTACACTACAAATATGAATAACTACAGGTGCACTGAAATTTTTACCATACATCATTTTGTTACAGTACATAACAATGATGGCAGAAAATTAATATAGGGGAAATAATGCTTGATTTTATGTTGAAAATCTCAGTGCAAATATTAACTATCGAAATGAATTTTTATTGACCATGATAATTTTCAAAATTAATCAAAAAATTTAAATCCGGCTTATTCTTCGTTTAAAAACACATATATATACCTAAACCTCAATAACATTTTGAACGTGTTAACAAAAATTAAGCTCATTAAAGTTCTTTACAAAATTGGAATCACTAAGGACGTAATTTAACTTATATACACTAAAAATCGACATAATTCGGACATTCAAAGTAAAATTCTAACTCGCTCAATTTGCTATTTGCTTAAGTAGACCTAGAGCAAAATCAGATTTTGGGCGAAAGTTAAACGAGAATAATAATTAAACATAATTTATCAGTATGAGTAATTTAGTTTAAAATTCACTTTGCATACTTCATACTGCTCATGTAGGTATATTACATGATTGTTGATGTTTTTTTTTTCTATATAATTTACTGTTGTAAGAAATAACACAAATAACTTGACAATTTTTACCACTGTACGATACTGTCAATAAAACGTAACAACATAACATTGTACCTAAATATCACTGAACTCACAAAACCCCTTAATACACTGAACTTATTAACTGAATCGATATTTATAGTTGTAAGGGATTGAATCTGATCTGACTATACACACTCACCTAATAATCACATATTCTTCACCAATTGATTTCAAATGGTAGAATTTTCCTAAAATGTAATTCTAACAGCTTCTGTCACAATAGTTACCATTTTCCATCATTAAATATGTAACAAGTTAGGTACGTTGTACGTTGTAACGCACATTTTGTGCTGTTCGCGGCAACCATAACATGTTTTACATATGTTTTACATACGTACATACGTTTTCATCTCCAAAGCTTAATTTCGGGATAGTAACACTGAAATAATTGTTATTTCCTTTTACCCTTTCCTTCTAATAAAAGTTCATAAATATATTCATTCGATTTTTGAATAAACAGTAGGTGAACACATCAACTTCCCACTATCATCTCATAAAGATCAGATGCAATCCCTCACTACCTACCCTCATGCTGTCCTCATAATATAGGAGATTCGTGATGACGGTGATCGCATCACCATCGACAAGTACGAGAGGAATACGGTGTTGACAGTCCGGAAGACCACCAGGCCTGACAGTGGAAAGTACAAGTTGGTTCTCACCAACTCGTCGGGAACATGCGAGAGCATAGCCGACGTTGTTGTGTTAGGTGAGTAAAGAGACAGTAACTACTTCACTATTTTTTGACTAGATAGCTACATATAAATGTACCAGATTCAGATAAAATAAAATCAAAAAGTAAAACCCAACTACAACTAAATCACGCTCTAAATAGTTTGAAATAAGAAATTTATTTTATAACGATTGCTATATTATAATAGCGGTGACCAAAGAACAGCGTAGTAGTATATCTCTGATCATAACAAAACAAATTATTATGGCATACGACTATGCTGGCCTTTGGTCATCGCTCATTGATCAGGCCTATTCTGATCTTGATCTGCATAATTGTAAAAAAATGAGCTTCTTTGGAATATAAGATACTTTCCAACTAGGAATTTAATAGCTATAATCATCTTCATCATCAATAGGAATTTAATACCCTAAAAACAGCGAAGAGAATTCAAATGTAATAATTCATTTTTCACCGTTCAACTTCTAAAGTAAAAAATACATACTAATTGTACTTCTCAGACAAACCAAACCGCCCGAACGGTCCTATCGAAGTTGTCGACGTTCGTGCCGAGAAGGCAACAGTCAAATGGCAGAAACCGGACGATTGGAAAGGATCAGACATCACTGGTTATACGCTGGAGAAAATGGATATGGTAAGAACTTAAAAACATAATGAACTTTGACCGTATCTGCAGTGATTAAATTTAACACCCACCAATCTACAGCGCGCTCGCGTGGTGGGTCATGGCTTATTATTCCTATCCGATTTCAGCAGCGGGGACGTGAATAGGCTGGTAGGGTGGATGATGATGATAATGAAATATCAATACGTTATTCTTCCCTACTCTTGTAAAGATATATATAGTTGCAATAAACATAATAATTCACAGGATACTGGAAATTGGGTGCCGTGTGGTGAGACAGGCCCAGAACCCACAGAGTTTCAAGTTAAAGGCCTTACCCCGAATCACAAGTACAAATTCAGGGTACGAGCAGTTAATAAGGAAGGGGAATCAGAGCCACTGGAGACTGATGGATTCATTGTTGCTAAGAATCCTTATGGTAAGTATACCTATTATTTATACTTGTACAATATATACCTAAAATTTAAGTTAAATGAAAAAGCTTTTTTCTGTTCTTCGAATTTCGCTACCCAATATAAATTGAGGATCTCCACAATCGGTCTCACATATTGGTTTTCAGAGTGACGTAATTTCTAAGGTCCCGGGTTCAATTAAGGTTTGTGTTATTAGATAAGGGTTTTCGCTAGGTACTGAGGATCTGAACAATTAGATGCCAATTTTTAAAAAAACATAAGGTTCCAATAAAAATCAGTTGATAAAATATATGAGTATATAGGATTTAGGATTCATTTAATATAAATACGAGTGGAATTAAACCCGAGATCTCTTAGATCATTTGGCTGTCTCCTTTTTTATATTGATAAACATTTAAATATTCATTTAGTGTATTCGTAAACAAAACGCTATTTGACAGTTGAGTCATGTGACTATTGCATTGACATTGACAGCGATTTGTTTGTCAACAACAATACACAAAAAAAAAGTTTGTAAGAGTTTCTACATCATGTTTGCAACCTATATATTTTCCAACAGACCCACCGAAGGCACCTGGAAAGCCAAATATCGTCGACTATGACAACATGTCGGTAACCCTTCAATGGGAGCCACCATTAGACGATGGTGGCAGACCGATACTGGGTTACGTTGTCGAGAAGAAAGATAAATTTTCGCCTGATTGGATTGAGGTGGGATTATATTACTTATTATGCCATATAAATTGCTAATGCGCCGGAAAATTATATAAATAACATCTGGGTAGACAAGGGGATAACTTATTTATTAATTATTGAAATATTTATGAATAATCCACAAAATTTTATTATAATAATTTAATAGCTTATTTAGTTTATTAATTACTTACTTATTTTTTTGGAAAGTAATCACTTTATATCTAAATATTGAGGTATATGGAAAATAAGAAAAAAAAAATGCTTTCTAATAACATTTTTTAAACATAATCAAAAGTAATGAAATGAGGGACATTAGATATTTATTATAAGTGACATTGTGTTTACTTATTGTGAAAATCATAATAGCAGTTGCTATTTAAGTCAACCATAACAAGTAACAACAAAATGTAATAATAGCAATTGAAATCAAAAAACAACAAAAATAGCGAATTCTCGCTTGATCTTACTTTTAATTGTTATACTGAAATGTGAACACTTATTTAATATATTTTTTAATAAAAAATTAAGTAATTACTTTATACTTACTAGTTATTACTAATTTACAATTATATAATACCATTTAAGTTAATAGTACTCTATAAAATTATTTTTTAGTTACTTTTTAAATAACATTGCTAATTTTATTTTAATATTGTGATTATATTGTCAATTGCAGTTATTGAAATGTTTTTTTTTAGTTTTGCTTATAAATGCAGTATGTACACAAAGTATTAAATAAAAACCTTATTTAATTTTTATTTACTTACCTATTTATGTAGATATTCAATTTTGATGGTAAATATAAAAAGTGTAAATGCATATATAAATTAGTTTAAGTTTTTAGTTGTTCTAATCTATTTTTAAAATTTTAAGGTTGTCAAAACAAATGACACAAAGACAGAATACAAGGTTGAAGGGCTCAAAGAAAAAATGGTTTACCAATTCCGAGTCAAAGCTTACAACAAGGCTGGTGTTGGTGATGCTTCTCAGCCTACTGATAACCATCTCTGCAAGCACAAGAACTGTAAGTATTTACAGTGAATCAAAATCCTACTAATATTTTTGAAGAATTTAAGTTATATAAATTTTACAATTTGAATTTTTACTATTATTCTGAATGAGGATCTTTGTATGTTATCTTTTCACACAAAATGCTACTCTATTGATTTTATAGCACAAATTGTTATATTTTTTTCTCAGTATGAAGTCTTATAGTAGAGATTATGATTATGTAGTTGCACAAAATAATTTGATTACATAGTTAATATATGTTTCTAATCTGTTTTGGAAACATATGTTATATAAAATTTACATAAGTAAGCAACTAATAATGAGTACTTTTTGCTAATAGTGAAACCACGCATTGAACGCAGCACATTCAAGTCTGTGATTATCAAAGCAGGCCGTACACACAAGTGGTCAGTCGATGTCACTGGTGAACCACCACCGGAGATGTCTTGGTGAGTATTTGTTTCTTGTTACCACATAAATTTAACATGTTCTTCATATTTATTCACCATATTTGGTCAATGCCTGCTTAGGCTGTTAATAAGTAATGAGTACCCTTAGCACTAAGTACAACAATTTGTGATCTAAGTACATATTTATGTCCAAATTTTGGAAATATACGACACTTACCAAAAACTTACACCATTCCAAATTGCAAAATCTGGAAATGTAATCAATGCAATTCAAATTTGATGATTTTTGTGCTAAGAGTACTGGATGGATAAAAAAACTCCTTGTATATAGCCATGTAGTTATAAATAGGCACAAAAATCCAAATTGATTTTTTTTCAACTCATGTTTATATACAATTCTTCAACGTCATATTTCTGTCATACATACTAAACTTAAAGTGCCATCCACACGTGCCAATAATCAGCGCGTGCATGAGCGCATGCGCTAAGTTGTTGTTATATGCGCTTTATAGATGGCGCTACGTTGTTTGTTTGGGGACTCATTTGACTCGCGGTGTTAAGAATTTTGCAGATTGAATGACATTCACCGCCTCACGGTTTAAAATCATACTTACCTGGCGTAGGGGATACCGTGATCATGAAGGCGGTTCCCCCAGGGCGAGGCTCCTCCATTGCACTGCGGTGGGGTTGACCCCTGCGATTATCCCTAATGTGGATAACTCGGACGCGTAATTTTTGGTAGTGGGGACTGCGTACGCGCTGTCCCCCTCTTAGATAACAAAACTCATTTACATAGGAACTAGAGATGGGTCGTTGACAGATTTTCCGTCGACGAAACGAAGCCGTTCATGGACCTTGATCGACTAGTCGATCAACTAGTTGATTTTAACTATAGTCGACATATAGAACTACGTCAACGGGTACGAACTTTGGACGAAGTTTAACGGTTTTAATTGTTTTATTGAACCGTATATCAATATTGAAAAGTAAACATTGTTGATCATCTGTACCTGGTTATGATTTTATATTGTCGAAAGATAGCGCTAGTATTCTAATTAGATATTGTTTTGGGTTATGTATTTTAAACGAAACCGTATTATTAAGTCTTCGCTATCCGTCCGTCTGTCTGTCACTAGGCTGTATCTCATGAACCTTGATAGATAGATAGTAAAAATTTTCACAATGATTCATTTCTTTTGCCAATAATGAACAAATACTAAAAACAGAATAATATTTGCTTTTATTTAATAAAATAATGTTTTTGCTCGATATCGATACTTGCAGCGAGTAGACCCTTGAAATATTTACCGAAGATTTGTCTATATATGTATTCACTTTAAAAATAAACAGTTACATTAAAATAAAATAAATACTCAAGTTGGCTCTCGTACAAATACAACAGATTTAATTTTTTTGCCGTTTTATAATGGTATGTACGGATCTCTTCGTGTGCGAGTCCAACTCGCACTTCACTTAGCCGTTTTTTAAACATACAGTTAAAATAAATATTATGAATTTTTTCTGTAATAGGATAATTAATTTAATTAATAATTATTTAAAATAATAAATTAATGAATCACTATATAATTCGGATGCAAAAAAAAGACTAAAAATTATTTATAGTAGAAAAAGTTAACTTATACTAAGTAGTAAAATTCTTAACACCGCCATGTCAAAAATCGTATAACACCATCTATCGGGGATTAACGTAAACAAACAAAGTCTAACATGTATTTAAACAAGGCCTATGTATTAGATACGCGTGTTCAAATATTTACTTACTTTCTTTGACTTTAGAGTTTAAATTATTTCAGCTGTCAAAGTTACATGAAAATTTAATAATGGAACAACCGAATTCCATTGTATTATACAGATAAAGTTATGCGTTGCAGTTTCGTAACATGTTTATAGATGAACGGTGCGTTCTTCGTTTAGCCGTCGACTCTTTTAACTGGTTGTATTATTGTATTATACGACAAAACTAAAGCGTTGTAGACTAGGTGTACGTTGATCAACGAACGTAACGTTCTTTATCTGATCATTGAAAATTCAACTAGTTGAATTATCAACTATAGTTAACGTATGCAACTACGTCGACAGGATAGACGTGGACGGATGGGAGTGTGCGTTTATTTATGAACTACAACCAACGTACAAATATTAACCGTATTGGATGGACTATATAGACTTTCGCAGTTGGCCGAACTACTTCACGTTAATGGATATAAAAAATAATATAATATTTATTTTGTGTAAGATCGTAGTTACCTAGGTGTAGGTATAATAGAAGAAATTTACGGTTTCATGTTTTTTAATAATCTAACTAGAAATCTTTAATAAATATTTTATTATATTTATCAATAAATATTATTTTTCATTTAAAGTGATATGTTTTACTATTTTAACATAATATTATAGATATACTGTACTTTAGGTTTTGTTTGTTTTGGTTCAAAATAAAATTATAAATCTTAATATTCAAAATTATTGATATAAATAACAGATGCCCAGAGTAAATTAAATTCTCTAAGATAAAAAAAAATCTATAAACGTTCTTTCAGAGAAATCAAGGTTAGATAGATTATTCAGACAAAAAAATCTCAAGGAAACCCTAATAAAACACACAAATAGACGAGTATATGCAAAACTAAAAAAGAAAAATTTTATATCGCAACAATAGTTGATCTATACTAACTAGTAAAATTCTTAACACCGCCGTGTAGATAAATACAAGAACTCTATAACACCATCTATTAGAAACAAATGTAAACAACAATCACATTTGACATTCATATATACAAGGCCTATGTATTAGACGCGCGTATTGAAATATTTACTTACTGCCATTGACTTTAGAGTTTCAATTATTTCAGCGATCAAAGTTACATCGAATCTTTATGAATGGAAAATGATGCGTTGCAGTTTCATAACATGTTGTTAGACGAACGGTGGGTTCTTCGTTAAGGCGTCGATTTTTCAACTAGTTAACCAAAGAACTGTCAACCGTCGACGCGTTGATTCTACGTTAACGGTTGATTTAACTAGTCCGTTGATTCAACGCCCATCGCTAATGGGAACGTGATCAAAATCATACTACTTATTTTGTTTTTTTTTTATTAAGATGATCTAATATCCTAATCATAGTAGGATGTCTTGACCGTGATAGACACCTTAAATCAGTGGTTGTTTTAACCGGAGCCGCAAAAAAAATATAAACCATATCCAAAAAAATAAGCGTTTTTTTATACAAACAAAAAACGTTTAATGTAGATTAAACCAAGTGGGGTAAAATATAGTCTCTAATGACTGAAATGATTTAAATCAACAAAAGTGTAACTTTGTTTTAACATATGAATGAAACTATTAACTCTTATGGGATAATGGGTTGCTGACCGTGCTCATGTTATAATATATTTAGGTCATGGCGCGAAAACATCAAACTGGTGAATACCGAGCGCATTAAGATCGAAAACAAAGACTATCACACGGACTTCACTATCGTAAATGCTGTGCGCCGTGACACCGGCAAATACACGTTGCGGGCTGAGAATTGTAACGGATTCGACGAGGAAACAGTCGAGCTAACTGTACTGAGCAAACCCAGCTCGCCTAAAGGTCAGTGCCAAAAAATTATAGGTAAACAAGTGTTATTATTCAAATATGACACAGTTAATTCTAGTTGTAAAATAAATCATGAAATAAAAATATTATTATTGTTGTTCGACAAGCGTAACAGTAAAATTAATGACATTTTGACTTTTGTCGTGTAATAACTCGGTAACTATATTTTCATTCTAATCACAAAGTAAATTGAATTAGAAAAGGTTTCGGTCCAAACATAGAACCTTATGGTACTATCCATAAATGTTGTAATTCCATAAATGTCTTTCCTGTTCTAGGACCTTTGGAAGTAACAGATGTACACGCGAATGGTTGCAAGGTCAAATGGGAGAAGCCAGAAGACGATGGAGGCTCTCCAGTCAAGGAGTACGAGATCGAGAAATTGGATATGGCGACCGGCAAGTGGGTGCGCGTCGGCAGGTAATAATAAATTTCTCCGCTTGATTTTAAATCCTATTGACATATGAGAAATATGACATGTTGTGGTAATATCGAACTGTCAATTGTCAGTGCTATGCCTTGTTGATATGCACAGGCAATTATATTTCGAAGCAAAGCAAATTCCTTGCCTACCAGAATGACTCAATTACGACGCGCCTTATAAGTTAGATTTAACTGTGACAGAAATTGTATCTAAACAATGTTATAGGTAATAAAACATACATATTGATCTTTAAATAGAGTGGCCGGCGACAAGAAGCCATTAGAAATGGAGATCACAGGCTTGGAGCCCGGTCACCAGTACAAATTCAGGGTGACGGCATGCAACGACGAGGGTGATTCCGAACCTCTAGAGACAGAACGGGCTACGTTAGCCAAGAATCCTTTCGGTGAGTTACCCAATAAAAGACTATGTGAAAATTTTAATAGTTGGTTACGCTGACTTTGGACGCGTATATGTAAGAATTTTATCGTACGCACAGAAACGTATTTTTAAGTCTCTTACAAGTAGAGCGTATTCACTGAGCGAATGCGTGCATGAAGTTCAGACATCTGAACACATGCGATCTTATTGGGATTTTAACAAGCATTCGAGCATCTCAAATAAAAAATAAAAATGTAGTTTAATTTTAAATGTAGTTGTAAAATTGTTATATATCATTGATTTGTTTTTATATAGTAATACCGCGGAAACTTATTATATTTCTAGTTGCCACCAGTACCAGTGGGTACCGTACCGGTGAACCACAATTTAAAGACATAATCGTCCCTAATTCAACCAACAAATTATAAACTGTATATCAAATTATCACATACACTTCAGATGTGTCGGACAAACCCGGAAACGTGGAGGTTGCCGACCACGACAACCAGAGTGCGGAGATCAAGTGGGATCCGCCCAAATCCGACGGTGGCGCCCCCATACAGAAATACATCATACAGAAGAAACCCAAGGGAGGCGAATGGGAGAACGCTGTTGAGGTCAGTGTACACTGATAGGATATTTATTAGTGAAATGAGTTTATACAGACAAAAAGTAAATTATTTTTATTAAAAATAAAATAAAATAAAAATGTCTTAGGAACACACACATTTGAAACTTGGAAAAGTCAATCATCCAAGACTAATACACATAAACATAGCATTCTAAATGTGTATTTACAAAAAAAAACTATTCCTTTTTATGACAGTTAAAAAACATACGGAATTCTGTAAAAAAAAAAAAACTTCATTACTCTTTTCCACATAAAATCTATGCGTATAAGTTATTGGTCAATATAAATTTGAACCTGATATCTTTCCGCTTTTTAGTCGATAATGTTATGCAAAATTATTGACGTCAGTGAAAACTGTATCTAATTATTGACTTTCTGCTATAAAAATTGAAGTTAAGTATATTAGGAAGTCGGAGTATTTAAATTTAACTTTTTTAAGTACAAGCTTTACATAATAGCTATTTTTTCTCCCTTCAGGTGCCCGGAACTGAGACCTCCGGCAAGGTAGAAGGCCTGCCGGAGGGTAGCGAATACCAATTCCGTGTGATCGCTGTAAACAAGGCAGGACCTTCAGAGGCTTCAGAGCCTACCAAGATGACCACCATCAGACACAAATCCCGTATGTTATAGTTACAATAATTCCCAATAATTCCATGCTTACATTACGACATTTGCAATAGAACATACTTTAGTTGAATACATACTAGAAGTTCGTTGAATACATACTAGAAGTTTGTTCATAACGCTTCTGAAAATTGTGCTTAAAGTGCGCATTAGACGAACGTTTCAAATCGACCTGCTGTTCCGCCGCCATTTTGTTGAGATTAGTGGGTAATGCGTTGGACGAAAATGAACCTTCGTTATTTCAGATATTAAATAATATGATAACGTTAAATAGATAGATAAACATTTTGCTGCATTTATATTTTACAGGAAATAAGTTTACCGAGCATTTTTAAAGCTAAAGTAGACTCAGACAACTGACTTTAGCTACTGACCTTGTCTAATATATGCATGTATATTAATATTTTCTACGTTACGTTTGTCTAGTGAAACCTCGTATCGACCGCACTAACCTGAAGGCGTTAGCTGTGCGGGCGGGCAAACCGATATTCTTCGACGTGAATGTCAAAGGTGAACCAGCGCCGAAGGTGCAGTGGTTCCAGAAATGGAAGAACGAAGAGAAGGAGGTATTACCTACGTTTTAAATATTTATAATGAACAATCAACCCCACATCCGTCTATATAACTGTAAAAATTCTTTGGTTGATTTTAAATATTATTACATTGAGGTTAAAGTTGAAAATCAATTGCAGGATTTTGACATACTCTGGTAATCGGGCGTGTTTATGTTCATACTAAAAATAAATACTGAAACGTTATATTTTGAAGAAATCAGCAAGAACAAATGTTTGAAATATAAATTTTGAAAGTGTAAACTAGAAACATCATGTTTTATAATAAATTAAGCATATATCTTTTTTTTCTTTTGGAATACTAATACCATATTATTAAAATGAAACAAGTATTTCTTTTCTTTTTGAACGTTTCCGGATCATAATCGATGGGATATTCCAACCTTCATCTCAATCAACAATTATTAATATTGAAGCTCCAATTAAAGTAATTCAGTTTTACAGGGAATGCATCTTTCGTTTTAAATAGTTTTCTTGTAAATAGATACTTAATATACATATAAATCACACAGAACAATACAATTCTACATGTTCATACACACGGCTTTGTAATCGAGGACATGAACCACTACACGAATGTGGCATCGTAACACGTCCGTCGCAAACAAACTAAAACAAAATAAGACCTCACTTTAAAGTGAGGCGTTATATCTTCGGTAATTTTTGAAAGTAACCGGCCATCTAGTGATAATGTTGATCGAAGAAGTATTGATAAAAAAATTTGCTCTGAAAGTTTAACAGATAAGAGCATTCGAAATTGGATGATCTTGGAAACTTAACCTTAAGTCAATGCATTAAAGTTTAAATTATAAAATGAATTCACATTAATAAATTTATGTCACCAGGTGACAGCAAACGTGATCAACGTCGATTACAACACTAAATTAGATATCAAAGAGTCTGTACGCGCTATGACTGGTACATACCGCATCCTGGCCACCAATGAGCACGGCAAAGACGAAGCCGAAGTGGAGATCACGGTACTGTCGTCGCCAAGCAAACCTGGCGGTCCACTGAAGGTCTCCGATGTCACCAAGTCTGGCTGCAAGCTGGCTTGGAAGAAGCCGGAAGACGATGGCGGTGAGTGATCTTTGTTTTTCTATTCCATATTTACATAGCTGTTTTTAAAAATTCCCAGATCGAGCGTACATTTTTGACTAACATTGAAAAACATGATTATTAATAGACAATATTTTATAGAGCGTCACCATAAATTTTGAATTCCTACAAATATTAACTAGTGACGATTCAAAATGCACTTTATTTTTTTATACAATTCGCTTTTTTCGTAGTTCAACAATGTTATGATTTATTCAATCGATGAATCAATGGTGATTCGCATCAAATACTAATTGGTCATTTTGTTCCCATCTCCTAAATGATTTACTTCTTGGGTTTAAGTGTTTTTGAGTACAGATTTTCCACAACACAAATCATCTTCTTAATTACTCATTTTACCATTATAGATAAGAAATTGAATATGTATTCATGTGTCCAATCGAAACTAACTTCTTTTATTACATTAAATCTGCAGGCAAACCAGTCACTGGTTACGTAGTAGAGAAACTGAATAAGGCAACTGGCCGATGGGTGCCCGTTGGTAAAACTGATGACACAGAAATGGAGATCAAGGGCTTGCAAGAGGGAGAAGAGTATGAGTTCAGGGTTAAAGCGGTGAACGAGGAAGGCGAGTCGGAACCACTCAAGACTGACCACTCCATCATCGCTAAGAATCCTTTCGGTGAGTTTGTAGTTGGAGTAGAAAGAAAATTGTTTGACTTTAATTGACTTGCAATGTTCGTTAAATTTTGCAAATGGATTTTTGATTCAGAGAGTCACGTTATTGTAAACGAAAATGACCAAACGATGAATCATTCATGTTTGTCAGGTAGATTATTGAAGAATATAAAAACAATTTTTTGCGCAATCAATAATATATATATTTAATAATAATAATACATCAGGTTGAAATGTCACATAACGTCACTTTTTTGTACATTTTCTATAAAACTGACGTAGCTTAGTAGAGTGTAGCCCCCCACTCCTCAACTTTAATGCCAATTATCTAAGCCATTTTTTGTTTAAATTTAAGCAAAAAAAAAATCTGATTGATGGACTAAAGAATTTCGTTTAGTCCGTTAGTCAGATAGCATTTGTGTAATTTGGTCTGTGGACATGAATGTTCGGGAATTAATATGCATTAATAAACTATTTATGTTGATAAATAATTTTCTAGGAATTATCTTCTTTAGGATATAAAATATCTTCATAATTACGTACACATACATAGAACGTCATAGAAATATTGCGACATTTTCCGTAAGCTTAGTTCCATAATTTTTAGTCTAATGGCAAACATTCCAATATGGTGGCATAGTTATTTTTGTGAACTGGTATGATATAGGCAATAAATTTAAGGGTTTACTAAAAGAAATACGAAAATAATAAAATTGCTTCATTCCAAATCCAATATAGCGGACCACCCAATATTGCAGACTAGTTAACTTTAAGGATTGT